CTAATAAGAAGCTCTTTTAAGTGTTTATTTAGAAAATCTCCCATGTGAAAAGCAGCAACAAAATCGGGAAAGCTGCTCAGCTCGGGCACCTCTTCACTCCAGGGCAGAGTCCGTATTTACAGTTGCACAAGCTGCTGCTGAGCCCATCTGGTGCAGGAGCAGCGCCCGGTGTTTACCTGCGTTTGAGCACACGTGAGTGGGCGCACTGTACGGCTCCAAGCGCACCGCACTGCTCTGTAGTAGTGACTAAGCCATCCAACAAGTGAAAGCTATGAAGTAGGACAACTGCAGGAAAAAAAAAAATAGGACAGGCGTTTACACGTAATGAAACGTACTGAGCGAGAAAAGCTCTGGAGAGAGATGAAAGAAACCAGGGCGTTTCAATACGCCGTACCACCCTGGCCTTCGTCAGAGAGGGGAAAATGTTCAGCATTTCCCAGGAAAGACTCAGTAGTCAATAAAAATACCTTAATTATACTGCAAGATTTTGTAGGAACCAATATTTTGCCTGCGGTCCTTGCAGGAGTTACAGATGCAATATAACTTGGTAAGTTCAGCACTGGAAACCATAAGGGTAGAATATCTAAAATATATAAAGTCCTGTGGAAGAGCCACATATCCAAAACATCAAAGGAGAGCTCTAATAGCTCCCTGTCCAAAGCCACCTCTAAAAGTAATTTCATGATATCTTTTTTCAAAGTGAAGGCAACCTTATAGAGGTTGAGCTCCTTATAAAGCAGATGTGCAAAGTCCTTTACAAGCTTTTAAAATATATTCTAAAGTTCTAGAAACATATGGCTCCATTTTTCGTAGCACAGAAAAACATATAGGAAATAATGTAGGAAAAAATATAAGTGCTTTTTTCAACATGTTTTTTTTTAAAGCTAAAAGCTATGAGTGTCAACATTCATCATCGCTTAAAGAAAATGAAAAATTCTGAAAGTATGTTACAAGAGGGATTTATTTCAGCTGTTCATTTCCAAATGCCTTTCAGACAAGGATGTACTGTAGCAAAATTGGCTGTTTCACTACTTCAATTTCAACATGAAATGCATGAAAAAGGAAAATTGCTTTGGAAGAGAATTAAGGAATGTTCAGAAGTACGTGTATTACTCACTAGTGGTTTTACTACTTTGAAGTGCTCTAAGACTTGTATGTACACATTTGCGGTTCATAATACAGCGTATGTCTAGGTTTTAGTGGAAGAACGCAGCATCCTATTTTAAGACTTACACAGAAAGCCACTTTTAAACAGTGAACACACAGAGGAAAGACCGCACTACAAAGCAATTTCAACATTGAACAAGTATTAAAGCTGTAGTGCTGAGGATGCCTCTGTTGTCAGAGCACAACATTCGGCATTTAGATGAGACACTTGAAATGGTTTCATACAGCGGATGTAATTCCACTCCTAAAGACAACAAATGCAGCAGCAACAAAACAACTTCATTTTCTGCAAAATGGCTGGTACACAGACCTACCAGGAGCACTGAACCGTGCCCGTGAGGTGCCCAACACGCTCCTGGAAGTTGTACAGCTACCCTCGTGTCTTATGCCGTGCTAGTGATGTGATTAAAGCACAGAGAAGGAGATGCAATGAAGCTGACGGGGGTCTGCCTATGTAATTTCAAATCTATTTAGTGAGATACCATTGGAATGCGTTTGCAATATAAATTTATTTGGCTTTCAAAATGAAATGTACTCTATAAACACTGCGCTATACAATTACTCGCATGTAAACGCACATTCCAACAAAAGTCAGAATGCCTGTAACACGTGTAACCAGGAAAACAACTTTTGTAGAAAAGAAAAGGCATCACTTTCATTTTCAGTTATCACCTGAAATAAACATGCGGAAAGAAACACTCTGCTGACAATATCTTTGCTGCAACACAAAGGCAGGGAGATTACACACCAGCTCAGATGCACTAACTCAAGTAAGAGCTTCTCAGCTCTTCTCACTTGGAAAAAAACACAAAGAGCTTGTGAGCAAACCAGAAATGTTTGCAGCTGCTTTCCTAAAAATCTAGAAACAAAACATAGCAGGGGATCAGCATGCTCTTACTAAGCAAAAAGTACAAATCTCTACAAGAGTATTTTGAATACTGGCTTTGTCCCTTCTTAAGTTTCTGGGGAGTTCAGGTATTATGTAGTAGTTTCAGGTTTGGTTTTCAGTTTTGTTTTTTACTTTCACCTTCATTCCCGGGAAACAGAAACTCAATTTCTGCCAAGTACAGCCCCTAAGTTACTCCGTTTACATTCACCCAGTCTCCTGTATTAAATCTCAACAGAAACTGCTTAGAACAATAGGCCAGCAAACTATTCATTTGACACAAGCTTTGGTCTTCTGGGTGGTATTTCACCATGTCTATGGAGCTTTTCCTGAAATTCTTTGCCTTTTCCTCAGCTGGTTATTCAGAAAACTGGCTGCTTTCAACACCTGTAGAGAGTTTACTGTGACAAACGAACTAGTAATAATGTAAAGGTGCATCTAATCTGGGCCTACATCATCGCCATGTGAATGCTTTTATAAGCAGTGATATATAGGAAAAAATTATAAATGCAAACTTCAAGCAATTCTTTCAGCATTAAGAAGGATTATAAAATTTTAATACATACTGCTGACAAAAGAATATAAAATGTATTCCTGGATGCCCTTGTATTTCAGCTTTAGAGCAGGTCTGGCGTATGAAGACCTAGTTTTTCAAACATTCATTTGGGATAAAGAACTGTATAGATCTATACCTTGTTAAGAAATCACTTGGAGGCGGGGTGAGGGACAACCCCAAAAAGCACTGAGATAAAGACAACCTACTTCCTTGCAACTATAACATAATAAAGTGTAATATAGTTCTAATGCCCCACAGAAAAACTTCAACACATACCCCTGTTTCTTAGAAAGGATTCATTTATACACCACTTCAAACACAAGGATCTACTTCCATGACTTATTTAAACCAGGCAAGTTCAAATCGTGGACAGCATTGCCCACTAATAAACAAATTATTCAGATACCAGGGACATAGGATGAAATGTCCAAAATGACAAAATACTCCACTTACATCAAATGAGAAACCAAGTCTCTGTTATGGCTTCCTGTATTTTGTTATCCCACACTGTCTCTATACAAGCCATCTGTGCTACAGACACTTCAAACCATCTTTCAACTATCAACAGGGCTTCTGCAGTAAAACAAACAATTACTAATAGATGTATCGTAGAGACAGATTTTAAATCAAAAGGCACAGTGCTTCAGCATTCTGTTATTAACAAAAGATCAGAACGAATCAGTAGAGATTTTTTTCTGAACATCCATTAGTAACAGAATACAGGGATGAAAGGCAGGGGGTGGAGGCAACATTTGCTACCAAACTCACCCAGACAAGGCAACACACACAGAGTCTGGATTGAAAATCTACTTCCAAGTACTCATTCTAAAAGAATTTCGTGCCTTTTTTTTTTTCCTAACCAGAGTCACGCAAACCAAAAGAACATGAAAAGCTACTGTCATTTGCACTCGTGAAGCAGCGTAATAAGCCACAACACAAACCAAGTTAACGACTGAGGCTGTGATACAGGCTGCTAACTGGGGAATATCAGATGTTACGCAGCTTCTCGTGCATCTTGGCACATATGCCCCTCAGCCACTGAAACAGGTAAAAAGTCTTAGGCTTGCCAGAGAATAAATCCGATCGGTTTAATTTATAATAGGGGTTACAACAATTGAGAGTCGTGGCCCACTAGATTCACAAGATGTTCTAGAAGATATTTCAAATGTGATTTCTGTTCAGAGGAAGACTGGGATATGAGTAAGTGTGAGATCTTCATGTACAAGAGAGCCCCCCCACACTGCAATACTTCCTGAGTGCAGACTGCTTATAAGAAAACTATTTAATAAAACAATCTTCAGATTAGTTGTATACCCCACGGTGAATCTACAATTATTGTCATTCAGGTCAAAAACATTTAAGAGCAATCACCCGCTCCAAGGAACCAGTAAAGGGATCAACAAGGCAGGAATGCTGTGCAAGGGGCAGGAGGAACACCCTCTCTCCACCTAAAACCAGCTTCCTACCAGTGTACCTGCTGCCGTAGTGCCCCTGGCCTCCTTCTTAGCCCAGCATCCCCGCTCTGAGCTAAAGGCAGGGCTCAGAAGTGCCAGCCCGCTCTCTCTCTGATTCTCTATCGCAGTACTGCTTGCTCACACTGTAACTAAGCCCAGTTTTTAAGGTGGAAAAATAACTGCAAACAGGAGGTTATGAAATTTGGGTTATTACTGCAAGCTCAAAGAGGGTACAATTCTCATGAAGGTGGCACGCGTGTGTACCGCACATCCCAGAATTAACCTGTGACACAAAGTCACAAGAGGGCTGGTTCTGCTGGCTCCCTGTGACACAGAGCACAAGCTTTGGGGACACCCCTGCAGCTCGGCAGCCCCACCACAGCAGGCACAGAGCAAAAGTAACTTCATCTTGGCTACTGAGATGGGGCAGCGAGCACTCATCTCCGCTCCAAGTGTGGTGCATGGATCCCACGGCAAGCAGAAATTACGGACACTTATTTAATCAGTCCCACGGTGCGAGGCCTCTCTCAGGGCAGATGTGACCCCGAGGCGACACGAAGCCCACCGCCAGTGCACCCATTTCACAGAAGGGACAGGCAGGGGAAGCAGCAGCAGCACCAGCAGCCCCCTACCCCACAGCCCCACCGGAGGGGCTCCCCGGGGGGCTGCCCCCTCACTCCCCGCTGTCCCAGAGCCCCCTCTCGACCTCCCCACACCCCCCAGACCCGCCGGGCCCCCCCCATCTCCCCGCTCCCTGCCCACCCCGGGCTGCCCCCGACCCCTCCGGGCCTGCTGCCGGGGACCCGCCCGGCCCGGCCCCAGCTCCCCCCGCTCCCTCTCAGCGCTCACCCCCGGTTCCCCCGGCGCTTCTCCGGTTCTCCCCTCGGCTCCCCGCTTCCCTCCCGCCTCCCCCGCGGCCCTGCCGGCCGCCGCTCACCGTGTGGGAGTGCAGGCTCTGGCTCGCCTCGATCTGCGCTGTCAGCGGCACCGTGTCGTCCAGCAGCACCTTGCCGGCCGGCGGCTTCTCCATGAAAGCCATGCCGCGGAGGGCAGCGGGGGACCCGGCGGCGTCTCCACCACCGCCGCCGCCGCCGCCGCCAACCTGCTCCCCTTCCCGGCCAGCTCCCGGCGCTGTCAACACGGCAGCTCCGCGCCGCCCCGCCGGGCCTTAGCGCCGCCGCCCGCCCGCCCTGGGGCCGCCCGGCCGCCAGGGGGAGCCGCCATGGCCGGCCACGGCACGCAGCCATGGCGCTCCTCCCCCGGCACGCTGAGGGGGCTGCCCGCTGAGGGAGCCCCTCCACAGCTCGCCCTCGGCTGGGTTATCGCGCACCGGCAGGTTTTGCCCCCCGGCTCCCCACCTTTTTCTCTCCTCAGGCAAAGTATCGTGAGAAAATTGGGAAGGATTCGGTGTCGGCTGCACGGTTCGTTTGCAAAATCACAGGATTTGTGACAAAAATGTGACTGGGAAATGTGGTCAATGTGAATGGCACAGCTTAACTTTCCTTGTAGCAACATCCCAAATGTGTTTCAGTAGCATGTAGGGAACCTGCTGCCCCTTTTGGCTTTTTACATTGCATGCAGAAATTAACCTCACTTCAAATGTTGTAAGTATTACAGAGAGTATGTAAGAGTACGTGAGCTAGGAGTAATATGTAAGAGTACAGAGCTAGGGCTTGTAACATGCTTCGAATAGCTGGCACGAACAGCCTCAATCTCCCCTCTGCAGCTCCACGCTGACAAGAAAATGGCTGTGCGTGGTGATGAAGCAGTTAAATCGCAGCCTGGAACAGCGAGCTTGTTTGACTCTTCCCAAACTTCTCCTTCTGCCCTTACCCTGGAGGTCAGATACAGATTTAATTATTGCCTCAACCTCCCGCCTACTGTCTCACCCCCAGATTTGATTCATTCTGGTAATAGGCATTAACTTCACAACTGGAGAAGTAGATGAACAAAAACGAGTGAGAAGTACATGCCTGATTTGAAGCAGTGCTTTGTACAGCAAAAATGTTACCAGGCAGTGACCTGAGGCAGAAGAAAAAGAAGCAGGAAGTGAATCAACTCACAGACAAAAGATAAGGAAAGCTCTAAGTACTGGTTCCTTGTTACGAACAGGCCAAGCCCTGTGCTTTGAAAACAGCAAGAAAATTTTAGTCAGTCTAAATGTTACAACCACTGTCACTTGCAGCTGCCCCTCCCTATGATCCAGCCTCATTTAACACCTGAGGTTTGTTGTTGCATTAAGGTTGTATTTGACATCACACCTAGACAGCATAGCTGTTTTACCAGTAGCCTTCATCACGCTGTTTGAGGACAAACTTTCTTTTCATAGCAAACAACTTTTGAGGTTATTTGTATCAATGCAGAATGCACTGCTGCAGAGAAAATGAGGGGGTAATGTGCAGCCAGAAAATGAGTCACCAACTGAAAAGAGCCTGTACATTTACTACCATGGTCATCATCATTCCTCATAAAGTATTTCAAGCGCTGCATCTTTAAGCTTTATCAGAAAGAGTATGTTGTTTATATTACGGCTGGCTACTGCTAACTTGCTGAGCCAAAGGCTTTATTAGTTACTGCATTGCAAAAGAACACTGCAATGTCAGCTAGAGGTTCAACGCAGATTACATGAAGCAATCTTGCAGTACATGTGTATCAGCACCTCCACCTGTCTGTTTTGCTTGTTAAAAGCACAGAACTGTCCCTTCTTACCTGTGTTTGTTACCAATATAACTATTTTGTAAAATAGTTTTAATGTGTTTTAACTAGGTTAGTATGAAGCGCAGCCTTGGTGAAAGGAATAGCCTCAACATAAGATCCACCACTCTAGACCTTCCACTGTAGCATTGCAATGGCTTGTCTAAAAGTGCCACATCTGTAAGGCAGAAGTGCCTAGTTCCACTGGTTTCCGTGTGATATTACACAGAAAAATTAAAAGCTGTAAGTCTCTTCATGCAGTTACCACCAGGATTGAGTTTGTGTATAGTCTCTGGAAGATTCTGAAGGTTTTCTGTTGCAAATGTACTGGATTACGAGATGTCATGTAAACAGACAGTCAAAACCAAGCATGTATTTTTGCCTTTACTGTGAAGTAGCATAAGATCAACAGCTCTAACTTTCTGACACCATGACTTTCACCATCCCTTCCATAACAGTCTTTTCACTTTCTTTGACTTTACATGATACTGAGATGTGAGCAACAGAGCTTTTCAGTCGTTTAACTTCCGCTGCAGCTGTGACTTCTTCTCCAATATACAAAGGAGCTGGAAATCGGATCTCCTGAGAAAGAAATACACAACCTTGACCGGGCATTTTAGTACCCAGAACTGCAGAAATAAGTCCATTGATCAAAACTCCATGTACAATAGTTCTCCCAAACCTAGATTTCTTTGCAAAGTCTTCATCTAAATGCAGAGGGTTTGTGTCACCTGTTAAATCAGAAAAAGTAATGACATCGTTCTGTGTAAAAGCTTTAGTAAGTTCAGCTTTGTCTCCAACTTTTACATGTAAACTCTGAAGTAAGGAACATCCAAGCAGAGAGCTTGTAACTGCCAGCTTTGTCAAGGCTCTTTGTTGGAGATCCCCTCTAGAAATTCCACACCTGCAGAGCAGCAGCATCTTCTTACAATCAAACCAACAACTGCATTCAGTCCAAGACTAGTTCTCTACTGTTCCCAGATAACGCGAGAAGAAATGGAGATGTCTAGTTTGGGGGGAAAAAAAAAGCATTAAAAAAATCAAATGCACTCATAATTGAAAATACTGAACATTTCCCTTTTAATAAAAGATTTTAAAGTTAGAGCTATGACTAAACAGAATTTTGGTTAGTCATGGCTTCAGAGACTAAGAATTCTTGGAACTTGTTTTATTAAGCAGTATCCTCAGGAAAAGAAAAAAAAAAAGCTCTGGAGGTGCACATTTATGCACACATTTAAAAATGAAGTGAGTCAACATTAACTATTGAAAAGGGTAGAAATGGGGTAAGGAAGTAAAGGATTGGGCCAAGATGTAGGCGAAGAACAACATTTTCCAGAAACTATTTTTTCGCAGATATATTAATATCAATGTTTCTCATTGGAATGAAGCCATGAAGTGATGAGACAGCTGTTACTGTCAGATTTCACAAAATTCAGTGTAGGAAAACAATTGCTTAAACACAGGCCTATAGACCTGCACTGAAAAGCACTTCACTTCCAAACCAAAATGTTCTTGCAAGTAGGCCACCTATCTATTAAGAGGAGGCATGCTCAACTAGCCAGGCGATCACACAGCAAGAGCTGACATTTGGGGAAGCCATCCGGCCTACCTGCAGCACTCGAAAGGCACACCTTCTGTTCTGGTAGAAGCCCAGCAACGTTAGAGCACTCCACAGCTTGACAAAGCCACTAAGTGAAAGTAATACAAACGATTTATTAATAAAATTTGTTCTTCTGTTTTCCTGCAACATAAACATCTTAAAGAAGAGTACATTATATAAAGAGTAATGAAACCTTAAAAGAGTTTAACAGCAGGTAATTCCATCAATGAGTGCTAGTAGCAACACTGTGCCATAAAGGGTTATTGTAATGACTGCAACATAGCAGATGCTTACTGTTACCTTGTCAAACTCACTTTACTGACCCTGTTTGTAAGTTCCTTCTGGGCCTTTAAGCACCTTTTTCCCCTAAATCACTCACAGCTGTCTTCATTTAAATCTGGCAACCATTCACATCTTTACCATAGAAAGATACCTAATGCCACTTATTTCAGTAGTGCTTAGTTCCTACCAGACCATTCTGTTTTAAAGCAGGAATCATACATGGATACATCTGGCTTTAGAGTCTTAGCGAATTTTAACTTATTTTCTGCATGCTCCATGCAGGTAGCTGCAAGTTAGCCTTAACTCTTCAGAGACCACTCGTAGACTGAGAGCTCTGCTTTTTTAGTGAAAAATATTTTCATGACTGTATCTAAAGCGTGTACATACTGCACCTTACCTGCTAACAACTCTTAATATTGCAGAGAGGGTTTTCTCCTCATATGTTAAGACATCAACAGGCAAAGCTGCTCCAACCTATGTAAAGATAAGTTATTAAGTGCCATCCCATGCTCTTCCTGGGGTTTATAACCAAGACATTTCAGTGTCAGCACATGCCTTTGGGAAAGTTATGCTCAAATCCCACAAGAATTTCAGCTACACCACCCCTCGCTCCCTGCAGCACCGCTCTGACAGAAGCCAGGTGGGTTCCACAACACAGGTGCAGGCCCCAAACACCGCCTGCCTTGTCTGAAGCCACCCAGCAACCACAAAAAGAGGATGGTTAGAGTACTCAGGACTCCCCCACCCACTTTGTGCCCTTCCCCTACTCCTCCTCACACAGCCCCCATAGACACAACCCTTCCCGTGCCGACTTCCAGGGCCGGGCAGGCCGGAGCTGTAGGGCAAAGGCACAACCCTAGAAGCACAGGGAGCAGGGGTAGGACCTTCCCCCAGCACCAGCCACCCCGTCCCGCCCCCTCCCGGTCCCCTCGCACCTCTCCGTGCAGCTCCTTCAGCGCCGCCACCACCAGCTGCTTCAGCTGCGCGGCGTTGGGCCGGGCCCCGCCGTCGGGCAGCTCCCTGCGGGGAAGCAGAGCAGAGGGCCGGTTAGAGGGGAGCGCAGGGGGGACGGGGAGGGACGGGAGGCGGGGAAGGGGCCACGCACAGGCGGACACGCAGGTAGTGGTGCCCCGCCGCGCTCCTCAGCACCCGCCGCTCGAAGGTGGCCGGCGGCGGCTCCGCTCTCGCCATGCGCCCCGTCATGGCGGCGCCCGCCCGCCCGCCTCTACGGCGGCTCCGCGGAGCCAAGGCCGTCGCCATGGCGACGAGGCGGGCTGAGGCAACGGGGAGGCACAGAATCATGGTTTTGAAGTGTTTTCTAACTTTTATCTGATTCAACCGTCCCCCTGCCACCGATGTCACCCACTAAAGCACGGCCTCCGTGCCGAAACGAGCGTCCCCGGAGCTGGGGAAGCAGGCGGTGGTAAAACGCCTGAGACCTGCATAGATGCTTGTGGTTGATCTGAAAAACTGTGTGAAAATCAGCAGAAAGAGGGGAAGTTCCTTTACTTACTTTACTTTAAAAAATGCCCAAGGCGAAGTAATGTCCTGAGCCTAAGAATTTCAGAGGTTCTTCCTTCTTTTAAATAAAATTCGTCCAAGAATTAACACTCAGCTGGCAGGGTAACACTGCAGTAACCTACACTGTACATAGGGTCTGCCACACAAGAAAGTATTTGTCTAAGCTAACTAGTCTGTGTAAAGGTACCTACTGCTGATAGGGCACAAATCGGGAGACAACACCTTTAGGTCAACTACAGCCTTGGGTGATTTGAAGGAGGTATTCATAAGAGAAGGCGATACATCTCACAATAGGCTGCCAAACAGCCTATTCTGTCTTCCAGACAGCTCTTTTGAATGCTTAATCAGTATCTTACCTGCTATAGCCTATAACCTGTAATAGCAGGCCTGTCCTAGTCAATATGGGACCATTCCTCCTCAATAAAATCTTCTGTAGGAATGAAGATTCCCTGCACTCTTGCCCTCAGTCCTCCTTTCCTGAGGAAAAAATCCCAGTTCTTCTTTGTCCTTCTGTGAAACATGACATTTTCTACATCCTTGTTCATCATTGTGTTGCCTTCTAGCCGCTTCACATGTCAATATCTTCCTTTAGGGCCCAAACCTGAAGTTCCATATTGCGGCAGAGGCTTTCTCATGATGAACACCACAATCCACCTGGACTACACTCCCAGACTCATTTAAAAACTCCACAAGAAATACTAAATGCTTAGAAATGAAGCTTAAGCAAAAGCAAATGTTGAATGTTAACAGATAATTTCACACAAACCAAAGCTTTTTTTTTTTCAAATTATTAGTTTGGTTTAAAAAACAGCTTGCCACATACAATTCAGTAGCTGTAAGTGTAGGACAGCAAGAGATCTCTAGTGTTCCTCCTAGGAACAGAGAACCAGTTAGCACAGCACTCAAATAATATTTCTACAATAATGTGGCAAACAGGTCAGAGCAGCCAGTTTTATTTGGAGCAATAATCTCAACAGTATTTTGTATTATTTTTTAAGATATTAGTAAAATTTTGTCATCGAAGAGCAAAAAGTGGTGGTCAGATAACGTACAAATCTGTTTTGGTTATTGCAATAGTGTGAGTGCTGTTCTCCATCAGGCTCTGATAACACAAGCACCAGAAACTCAGGCGCTCCAGGAAAATCCAGTAAGCTGCTGTAAAGCCTGCTCCTGCTGTAAGCGCTGTGGGGGGTTGTGTCAGCTGCAGTAAACAATAAAGAGCACACACAGGATTGTACCAGGAAGGCTGGACACAACATGTCAGTTTTTTATTAACCAAAAGTGAAGCTGAATCCAAGTGGTTTAACTTGTTAAAACCATATGCTTATACGTCAGATATTTTTCTTTCATGTTAACACTGTACTGCAAGAACCAAACTTTGCAGCTATTCATCCTTTGAGAATCAAATACTAAGTGTAAAATGAATTAAAATAAGGGTCCCTCAATGAATCAATTAAAAATATTTAACTCAAAAGAACAGACCAATTTTAAGAACTGTCCTATGAAATTCTCCCACGTGAAAGACTTTTAAAGCACTTGGAGCCTTGAGGTAGCAACTTTATGCAGAATTTAATTCCCCTTCTGCCCCACAGAGCAGAGGAAAATTAGTAATGCATTATTAGCTCCAGCCAGCTAAGCGGAGTTGAGTGTTCTCCCATGAGGTTAGTGACTTTCTTCCACCTTGAAATAGCAGTGTAGTGCTGCAGACAATCAGGAGAAAATCCACAAGGAAGGCCTCTTGAAATAAAATATATGGTTAGAAAGAAGTGAAAATAATCAGCAATAACTGTAACAACAAAAATTATCTGGAGTGAAAAAAAAACAGTGTTTGTATTTTGGCAAGACTAGTTTACAAATACAAGTCATGAACAAGCGTCCATTTTCAGCCAACAGAAAAGAAAGAATGGAAGTGACATTCAAAGGTTGTTTTTTTTTTTCCCTCTGTGCAAAATTGCACAGTTTTGTTTTCTTGTCTAAAAGAGAGCATTTTTGCCCCACTTTTTTTTTTTTTTTTTACATTGTGAAACCTGTGCTGTGACATTAAGTAGAAATACCATATGCCAGGATATTCGACCACTGAAAGCTCCTCTCACTCACCTCACAACAATCACAAGCAGGAAATCAGAAATGAGACTTTTTCCTCCAAGTCTCAAAGACACTATCCTCTTTACCCACTTTGCTGCTGAGTTCTTTTATTAAAAACTAGATCCTTCTCCACTGTCAGAGAATCCACAGAAGATTTACTGAACACTGAGCAGTAACAACAAAAAAACCCGTGCTCATTCTCCCCAGCATTTGTGAGAACAGTCATAGAGAAAACGAATAAGCTTAGACAATAATGCAGTCAGAACTTCATGACCAGGCACCTCACTCCACTCCTTGGTCTTCGTATCACCCCTTGCATGTTTTCAGATTTAGCTCATTGCTGGTGCTGTTTGGCTATCCAGATACCTGGCTTTGTTGAGCATCTTACTAGAAGCTTCTATCACTACCTTCATGTTCCAAATTTGTCCAGAACATGTTGGTTAAACCAGACCAAACTAGTCATGCACATTGCAAACTAGAACAGTTTACATGGACCAGCCTTCTTAAAGGTCATTCTGCTTCAGGTGAAGGTCAGGTTGCCTCTCTATGCCACTGAACAATGTCACAGATCCTGGATGCAGGATGTTATTGCCCAGTATGCCTTTGCTTCAAGGAATCTAGAGAAAGATAAAACTTCAAAAGTTTCTTAAAATCCTCCCTTCCAGGCAGAATTACCTTACAAATCTAACACTGGTCTTGCTTGGGTGGTGTTGTTTTTTTTTTTGGTTAAACTTCAAAACAATTGCCAATGTTTGCATGTGCTGAGGTATTCAGTCCTGTCCTGCAGAGAACCAAAGAAGTAGAATCCATCTGTAAGGCAGCCCAACCTGCCAGGCTCCTCCAGACAAAGGAGAGGATATGACAGTCACAAGCTGGCTTTAGAGAGACTTCTGTCTTTGAGGCCAAAGTATCAGTGTAAGGGCCTGATGAGTGTTTTTTTCTTTTTTTCCTCTCTTTTTTATTTGTCTTAAAAAAAATAAAAATCTGTAATTAAAAGAATTATATTGTCTTTGGTGTAAAACCTCAGAAGCACAAACGAAGTACCTGCTGCTTCTTTGGCTGTAACTTATAAAAAAAAAAAAAAGAAAAAAAAAAAGAAAAAAGAAATCCAGCCCAGGAAAGCAAGGGCAATTCACTGTTCTAAAATACATGCAGTTAGAACAGCCACTACACATTACAACCAGAACTTTAATATGGAAACATCTTGTTCAGTGGTGCCCATTACAAATCATTTGCATCATATAAAAATATGACTCCAATTACAGTTACTGGACAATAGCCAAACTTATCAAGTTTCCATCTTACGCATATTGCAGGAACTGGGATGTCCTCATCGATTTAGGGAAAAAATATTTATCACCCAGAAATCAACTTGCAGCTAAGTTGCAGCTAAGTATCTTGTGCCTTAGAGAAATGTCCACTGTCATAACTAGAAACAGGAATTCAACATTAGCATCCTTCTGCTCTTGCTCAGATGGCCATGAATAAAAAGAGAAGGTTCTGTTAGATGGACATCCACAATTAAAATACCATAATCCCCATAAAAACACTACTAAGTTTTTTGTGAGCTGCAGAATGCAAATTCAAAGGGTCACTAGATTTATTACCCACAAATTCAATGATTTACTATATATATTCCATTTCACACCGTAAAAATGTTCTTCTTATGGTTTGATTCTTATTTAGATAGTACTTTGATAAAATCTCAGCTGTATACCAATTAAGTTCATTAAAGCTGTAGAAATAGAATCTACCTAGAAAATGCTGCAAATTTAACAGGTATTTTAGATAATCATCATTAGCTTAGCTATCACCTAATCCAAAAGATCCCTCAGGTACACCAACTGCCTAGTTAGCAAAGACATTTGCTTTGCAAAGTCCAATGTTACCAACTTTTCAAAAGTTTTTAAAATCAACATGGCATTTGGAAGCCAAGTGGACTCAAAGTGTCCAATAAAGTTAGAATACCATGATTTTTATTTTTTTTTTCCCGGGGAGGAGCTCCTATAAATAAGTACAGAAGTAGCTTTCCTTTAAATTACATAACATTCACCTCCTTAAAAAGTTTTAAAACTGACCCAGACAACAGCACCCTGGCAAATCTAGCAGTATAAAGGATCTCCGTAAGCCGAAGGTGGCCATCTATTGTGATCTCACCACAATAAAATCCACCTGATGTCAGAAACGAGGAGCAAATTTGAGGAGATGACAACTATGACACCTTCCAGCCATTTGATCTGAACTCACTGCACACTTTTTGGGAAGCGTGGAGCAAAACAATTTTCTTTGCTGCTCAGAACACACTTGAAATTTAGTAATGCTTCATTTTCTGCATTTTGCTGCTAAGCAGACTCTCACCTGTGTCCCCAGCTCAGTTTACTTGGTTTAAAGAGCTATAGTACCTGCATCTTTCAGCAGGTAGAAGAAAACTTCAGTGCCACCTTATTAACCAGCTCCACTGATATTTTAACTTCAAACCCAGATGCTACAATTAAAAGCAAATTTGACATTGTGTAAGGAAAACAATATAAGAAGACAATAAGCCTACACAAGGCTTATATTCCACAGGTTGCCTCTGCAGAATAGGCAACCTCCCACCACAAGATCTGATTTGAAAATTTATCACAACGGGAATACCAGGAGGAAGGAGGCTTCTGTATCTTGTATACTTTGGATTTCATATCAGGCACTTGAACTGTTGAACAGATGCCATTCTGAACCAAGTAAGTGAACTCAGGGTTAGAATCATCTTTAATCTAGGTCTAATAATGAAGTATCAGCAGCAAAGTGGAGGCAGGGAGCGAGCAATCCATCTGTGCTGAGACTTGCTTATGGTTTTTAAAATGCCCAAGAAGACAGCAGCAGTAACTGTTCCGTAGTGTCCATTTTCCTTGTGAGTTGTGTTGCTGATAGGAGGCTTTTCTGTGTCTTGAACTAAGAAGGCATTGAGGTACCCTGTGCCTAATTTCCTGGATCCAACAGGTCCATGCTAGAGCCAAACATTGCCACCAGCTGCTCCTCATAATGCGTTATATTCCTCTTCATAATATTCATGCAGGGTCCAAGCAACCTCTCAAACGCTTGCACATCCATGACTGCAAAGAACAGAAGTGAAAAGAAGATTGTTTATCAAAAAGGACACCACAAAAAGTCTACTTTTTGATCTCAGAACACAGACCTTCAGTCTAATCCATTTGCTTCTGAGGCTCCAACAGAAGCCACACAAACAAATCCTATCTTTGATTTCTCTCTGTCCTGTTGCTTGGAGAAACAAGATTACCGAAATACACACCTGACCTATACACACCATGTAGGCACTAACAGATCACCTGGAAGCTGTGACAAACAGTCTCTGTATAAGAAGCTGATGCTGAAGTCTGGAGTCTTGGTGCAAGTTCCCCCTTTCAAAGGGCACAGACCATACAAGCAGGGAAAACAGAGCCTGCTGGGCAGTTATCCCCACCCACCTGAAACTAAAGGTCTGAGTGGAAGACAGTGGTGCTTCTCAAACCTCATAATGGAAACCCACTCCAGGCCAATGCTCTTAGCTTCTAGCATCTGACCACAAGGTACCAAAATACTGGCCAGGTTTCAGATAGCTGTTCTGTCAGGGGTAGTCCACAAAACAAAGACCAGAAGAGAGTAATTAGAATCATAGAACATCTGCTTACCTAAACATTTGACCTCCCCAACAGCATAGGCAGAGGCTGCCCTGGGTTTGTTGGTAACAAGTGCAAGCTCTCCAAAATACTGTCCTCGGCGACACCGAGCAATCTCTACTTCTTGGTTAGCTTCCTTACTCGTCATAGTCTGTAAAACAGTGCATTTTAATTATTCACAAGCAGTTCTGTCTTTCTACAAGGCTCGAGTTAATCCTGGATATCCTGGGGATGTGCAACTGCTCACTGGTTTAGAGCTTTTAAACCAGCAGTCCCCAAATCATTCTCTGTACTGGTAGAATACCCTGACAGAATGTTCAGTCACATGTTTGATAAGAAAAGTGTATGCTGGCCCACAAGTTTTGAGATTGGCAGGTACTCACAGTTACAGCTTTGGGAACTGCTATTACATTCACGTAATGCAGGTACAAAGTTTTATCATGCACGAGACTTTGCTCCCTAAGGACTGCTCCAAGCTGTACAGAGATTCATTCAAATGCCAATGACTATGTCATCACCGGAGATAAAATGCCCCAGCTTTGTTAGCTGTAGTTTGCTATAACCAAGCATTTCCACGCTTAAGGCCAGCGAGAGTACATTAGGTCAGTTTACAGAGGAGCAGATACAAGCAAAAGACCTTCCAACTTTAGAAAACTGACTTCTGGCCACTTCAGAAGAGAGATAAGGATTTATAACCTGCATCACAGTAAGTGACAATGATAAATATCAGTAAAAAATCAATCTTAAAATAAGTTAGGTTTTTGCACACTGCTCACATTAATTGATCAAATCAGGGATTAATCTAAAGCTTGATCACCCAATTTGAACTTACCTTGCTTTTAATCATGATTTTTACTTCACCAGATTCTACAATGTAAAAGGAATCTGCTTTATCGCCCTGTGAAAAAAAGGTAAAACATTTTTTGTTTGTTTGTTTACTGTAAAAGTATATATAAAGTGATATTAAAGCACTCATTCTGAACTAGGCTTTGTGCAGAGATCTACTGGAATTGAGTAACACTCAAATTCTTAAAGCATTAAAAGATGACTGGTTATGCAAACATATCAGAGGAAATCACAGGGGAAGAAACTATTAGTACACATCTTTCAGTGACAGGGGAGGTAGAAAGGAAAGAAGCAAACAGGGTTGACAATACACAGCAAAATCACTAAAGTGCACACAAGTCTTTTGCTACTGATGAAAATAACCAGAAGTTAGTGAAACTAACTTGGGCCTAGAATTTTCAGAAGCAAATTTTGTAAAACATCAAGTCAGTGACCACATTTCTAGATGTCAGTAGGAAGAAGGATCCATTAAACTAAGTATGAGCTCAACCAATTCTAGCTAAAATAGTGGGATCAGCAGAATCCAGAATAGCTGTACTTGAGGAGCATTAACATAGAAAGGAAGAGGAGGACAGTTTACAGGAAACCACATCCACAATGCAAGCCATCTACATCAGGAATGACGCAACAGCCATAGAAAGGTTGTGAGAAAAATAAGGAATGAAGCACTTAATGGCATCCTGCCATTACATGAAAATAAGTCACACCAGGAAAGTGGGAGAACCTCCAAATTGGTAGTCATTTTATATCAAATTCTATAAGGATATGCTAAGGTGTTGCTGAATAACTGAGCATTAAGTAAAAAACTTTTGCTTTAGTCAAACTCAGCTGTTTCTATGAAAAAGTCCTATGACTATACCTAGACTTCAGTAAGGCCTCTGACACCCTCTCCAAAAAGATCCTCACAGAGAAGCTACTGAAATGTGTGCTGGATGAGAGAAAAGGGGTTCATGGTATTGGTACAACTGCTGTAATGGAAAAGCTAGCAGTCTTTCCTAGGCATAACATTTCATCATCTTTAGCAGTGTATCACCATCACCCCGAACAATCCAGACTATTAATCCTACTTGTATTTATTTTATTTTATTACCGGTAATTACATCCTTGTCCTTAATTCACTTATTACAAAGATTAAAACCAACTGCACAACTGGAGGCTGATTTATAAGCTTTGATTTTTCTGAGAGTCCAGTTTTCTCAGGTTCTTAAACAACAAGATTTTCAGCTTACAAAACTGAGCAGCTTTTTGGAGAGAAGTAATTTGGTTGTATTCAGTTATCAGCAAACTAATGTTTTCTACATTCAGTGTTATCTGACATTCGAGGTAATTAAGATCAACTATTCAAGACATTATCAAAGAGGCACTCTCCATTTATAAAACAAGACAATTTATGGTCATAAGCCTACTATTTCTGGTAGGCCAAGGACTTTCTTGCATTAACTCCTATTTGAACTAGAGCACTTTCTTAAAGTAAGTAAATATACAAAGCAATTTCCAGCGAAACTTGATGCAAAATTCTGGTGGTTCATTGGTAAAAATATCCCAAAAAGTTATTTCTGTCACATAGCTTCAGCTTGAATTTGTCCAGCTTCACGTTCCACCAATCTGGCCTTGATCTATTATAGCAAACAAAACATATCAACAACCAGAGACGGTCAGTTGAAGTCAGACTACAACATTGAAATACTCTTTTTAAGAGCATTAGGAAAAGAGTGGTTTAAGTAACTCTGACAGTTTCTTAGTACAGTTAACTCAGTTGAGTCCAACTAGTAAAATATTCCCATTGAGTTCATTTAGTTTTATTCAAATCATGCTCCTGTTAATTTGTTTGATTTTGCTGTTTAGTCAGGCCTAGAAATCAGAGATGTTTTTACTATGTGCTTGTGCCTCCTTGTTTAATCTGGTCACAGATGCCTATAAAAGGTATAGCTGGGAATGGAAAATAGCTTTCATGGAAAATTACATAGACAGGCTTACTTTCGCTTAAGGCACACTCCTCTGGAAACCTTGCAAAGATCATTTATGAAAAACAAGTGGACACAAGGAGAAAAAACAGAAGCTAAAGTAATAGAGTAAATACGTAGTGAAAGACTCAGTGGTCCTTCCCCAGATATTCAAAAACTGGTTAAACAAAGTGGAGGTTAAGGTTTAAGGCAAAATCTGGTATGGGCCACCTGAAGTTTGTTTAAAGAAAAAATAAGTGATGCCAAGTTGATTTAATTAACATGATTCTATAAGTAAGTTCCACATAGTAAAAAAAAAGAAGAGATGAGAGAATGATAAATGGGAATTTAGACTCCAAGTACCTGAGCAATGATACGTTCCCCATCTTGATACACTTTCTCTCCTATAACATCCACAATTTTCATTCGCTCTGATGCCTAGAATGAAGAGGAAAATTAAGTACAATTATCTGTCTGCTACAGTACATCTCTACTAAACTTTGTAACTCAGAATTGAAGAGGCATTCACTAGACACACACACACACAGAGGACCTGGATACTGAAAAATGCAGCCCCCACAATGACTTTGTTAAATTGCGCAACAGTTTTCAAGACTACCATAATCAACAGGCAAATAAAATTTTCTAGTGTCCCATCTGTGTTCTTTTCTTATCCCCTAAATTTAAAATACCAGATTTGGCAGTTTTAGAACAACAACAACCAAAATACGTCCTGTGAGATTCAGATGAAATTTGACAAAAGCACTTAGAAAATGTCACAAATTTCTTAAGAATAAGCTTCCTTTATAAATACCAGCAGCACAAATTCAAATATTTTAATCACCATACACTTGAATAATTTATTTATCTATTTTCAGTCCCAAAATTCACTCCTAGATTAGTGAGAGGAAGCGGTGATCTGAAGATGACACTGGGTCTAAATTGTGAGCAGGCATTGCAACAGGATGCCCAGCAGCAAGGTCAGGAGGTACTAATCTGACATGCAGTGAAACATGCCTAAGCCTTCACAAACAGGAAGGGAGAAAGGACAGTTAAATTTATCTCCAGTGTTTCCTGCTTCTCATCCAGCATACCACAAAACATCATTATTTGCACATTTTCAGTGTGAAAACGTATTCAGAAAGGAAGAAAATCTTAAACAGTTAAAAATGAATACCTTAACAGATGATTCAGTTTTAATCCATTCATTTCACAAATGCACTTCAATCTAACCCATGTTTGAGAAACTGTTAATTCTGATCCACACATGATTCAACTGCAGTGTGTCATGCAAAAAGCCATCCAGTGCTAATGAGTTACTTTTCTATATCCTTAAATATTCATGAGTCATTTTGCTCAAAAGTCACATTGATTGAACTAGTTTAAGCCAGCCATCGAAGAAGATGTTATGCAATTCACCCCTTCCATAGCTATCAGCATATGTCCAAACTAATATATATTAGAAGTTGCTGTTCACACCTATCATTTTGTAATTTTCTCTTAAGAAGATTAAAAGATGTTCTGAAATACAAAATATCAATGCTAACAACGAAATCTAAGTTGTGGTATAAGGCAAAGGCAGAAGCATACCAATGTTCAAAGCAGTTTGGTATGGCTACAAAACCCTTCTGAAAACACAGGATGAACACAGCTTAGAAGTGACTACACATCATTCCTAAAATCATGTATCATACACATCAACGTAACACGTGTCAGCTCTGCCTGGTCATTTTGTTCCCAGGCAGCAGTGCTTTCTTTAGCCTGTTCTTAGTTTAACTCCTGAATATGGGTTAAGGTTTAAGGCAAGATCTGGTGTGGCCCACAGCTATGAAATTAAAACCATTCACAGTCAACAACGGCCAAATTTTTCAGTGATTGTACCATTACTTCAGTATCACACCCTCAAACAGAACCGAAGTTGTGAGTCCCAGTTTTCACTTTAATGCACGTTCTCTGTTTTATATTTGGCTTTAAATCTTTATACATATTAAGATAAAAATTGTCTACTGTGAACAAAGGATATGAAAAAAAATATTGCACAACTTCAAAAACATAAAGTCAGTTGTACAGAAAATGGGACATTAAAGCGGTTCTTAAAAATCTGTAAGCAAAACTGACACAGATTTCTGATATAGCAGAAACACTGACTGCAACGATAATGCTAGTGCAAGAATCTGATATCTCCGAGAGTCTTTACCTCCAAGGATTTAAGAAGGGGCACTGATTCAATAAATAACTCATATGTCTTCCTCTTCTTTGCATTGTTTTTCAATATAATTCTTTTGAATGTCACTCGATCCTGCAAGAAACAGCACAAATTATTGCTCTCAACTAAAATGCTTATTGATTAAAGAACTAACAAACATTAACTAAACAGTGTAAGAAACATTGGATATGAGAGTCAGGCTATTAAATTGGCACCATATCCTTCGCAATGGTGATCCTAACAGCTCTTGTGGAAGTATTTACTATAATAACAAACTGAAAGACAGGGAGCTCTCAGACAAACTTGGTTCTTCTCAGATAAGACTTAAGAATTCCCCTTTTAGTCTATCTTGTACTGTTTTTCAGAGTTGAGTTCGGTTTCTTTTTTGATTGATTTTTATATCTTTTGTGCTTCCACAAAGAATAAAGAAATTATTCTCTTCTTGCTGAAGCCATTGGAAATCGGAATTTGCAACACTTATTTGGTAAAGCAACTACAAGATTAAGTCTGAACTGGATTCTTCTGTCCTCGGTTCAGATTTAGATCAGCACAAATAGTATCAAACAGCAACAGGCTTGATTTCCTCCTCCACCTTTAAGGATCCAAGAGGCAGCTTTTTGCAGAACTGGCTACTTCTGAACTTCTATCTGTCCACATGTACCATAAGCACCTTCTTGATGCAAAAATGCTTTGGTTTGCTTTTGAAGACTAAATACTGGGCAAGATTTCCAGCCTGCTGCTCCACCACCTGCCCTGCTGACTCTCTTTTTTCAGGCAGCAGTTAGTGCTGTACCAGCTCCACGGCCAGTGGGCGGCAGTACGTGACTGAGTGAAGGCAAGCTCACCCAGCTAACTACATCTGTCTGAGTACCTGCAGTGGCAGACATGTTTGCGAGTTTATTGTCAGAGATCTTAATGAAATGCTTTTTATTTGCACGCAGAAAAGGCGGGGCCGAAATACCTGAGAACACTGCTGAGAAGGGGCACAAGAGAGCTGCAAATATACAGCACATCCAGGCTAAGGGGAAAGGCACTTGCCCACCAGTATTTTTGATAGTGTTTGCATAACAGTAATGCTCACGGCCCATAAACGATGTGAGCATGAATGTAAAAATCAAAAATAAAGTCAGAAGAAAGGAGCAGAAATTGGGTCAGGAAAAAGGTCCCCCCAAATATATATAAATACATTTTAAATATACCACAGAATTAGCAGCAACATCCAAAGTCCCTGAGAGACACTCCTCTGCATCTTCGTTTTCTAAAAACATCAACTGATACTTCAGAAGAGAGATTTTGAGGTGAAGTGGTGTTTCCAGGTAAGAGAACAGTTTTATGGGATGCAGGCTACGTATACTTTGAGAGGAAATAATGACTGATGCTGGTAGCACTACCGGAATATGTAAATTGAAGGAGGTGACAGATGAACAGAATAGCGTTACTGTTATCTAAAGGACAACAGGAGATGACAAAGCCTGAGGGACTGGTGTTTGTTTGTTTTTTGGGGGGGGTCTTTCATTTTAAAGAAATTCTTCAGTGGCAGAAGTCTCTTCAAACGTACACCTTTGGAGAAGCAGAGAGGTTCAGAAATTGTCAGGGGAATTGCAAAAACATAAAAAATTCAGAAATCATTTGTTTCAGAGTATCAGTGAGGTAGGAGAAGCAGCAGTATTTGGACAAAAAAGGCAGAGCAGTGATGGAAGCATACACAGTTGTGAGGCTTTCCCCAGACACATTCAATAGCAAGTGGTGAGGACGTTTCTCTGCTCCATAGAAAACCCCCATTTCATTACTGCTTCGTGCTTGAGCCCTCCATTAGCCTAAGCCTGCAATGCAGCAGGAGTAACCTGCACCTCCTAAAGCTTATAGGTTGTCTGCCATTTAAGAATTACTTTTACAGACTAGTGAAGATATGTTTCAATTACATCAGGCACAAAATAATACAATAAAACATGTCAACAACAGAATAACAGGATAACAGGAATAAATAACCTAAGTTTTAGACAGAAAAAATGCAACCTTAGTTAATAAAATATTCACAGGACAGACATCTAGCAAAAGGTCCCCCTTCAACTACATCTTGCTAATTAAGTGAATGTAATCACAGAATTAAAACAAAATTAACCTGATTTGTGCAGCTCTTTTCAAAGGCAAACTGGAACAAAGAATCATCTTCCCAGTTTCTTCCTTTTATGAATGGGCTCTGTACATAGCTATTTTGTTCAAGAAATTAGATACTGACATTACTCCCTGGCTGATTTACCAAAATCTTTTCTTTCAGCTCACAAAGAAAAGGAAAATCAGTTCTCTCGGCAAGTGCAGAGATTGCATAAGCATGCCGTGTGTAGCAGCTTATCAGTCGTATAATCAAGGTCACAACACATGGTGAACCCCCAGCGATTGTTGCTGCGGAGCCCAGTGCACACAAAATATACAACACTTTTGGCTTCAAAGGCTTCTCTGATAGCACAATTTGCTTATTATGTGAGCCCTTACAGACGAGTAAGAGAGCACTGTGAAAATAACCCTATCCAAATAGTGCAGAGAAAAGAACTAAAATAGGAAACTAATGCCTACAGCTTCACATTAAACACTGCTGGGCTAGAGACAAAGCAACATTACCATTTAGCTTGGTATCGCAAAAGGTCACATTGACCCGAGAACCTCTTCCAGGGTAACACAAAGGGACCAGAAACATCATGACAGTTTATTCTGAGGGAAAACAAAGCTTTGGGCAGTTTTCCTACTCTTCAAATTACTGACATGCTCAAGAAGATATTCAACACTGTCCATATCCCTTAAAGCAGACAAAATGGCATAAAGGTGAGTTGAAAATAAAGAATGTTATTTAGATACTGTTTTTCTCTTCTGCAAAATATGTGCATTAATGTCTCCACTGTTCTCTGCAGGATGAAGGGACATTTGTTTTTTCCCTAACAAAAGCTCTGATTACATCAAATGCAAAATGATAAAAAGGACAGATAAAACTAGCAACACAGTTTTTACAGATGACTTGTTCTAGAAGGGTGGCCAAAACCATTTGCACAATGGATCTTTTATGCAACAAGGTGAGATAACAAATCGTGATAAAATAGCTATTAGCACAAGGAATCATACTGAGAGAAGCACCTGCTGCTAGACATGGTGAGTTAGTATTTCAAACAGTATGCATGTGAGAGCAACTTCCTTTCCTTACCAGTCCCCAAAGGGCTCCTTCTGTCGTGGCAACGATGGTGGCAGCTCTAGGAGTGTTGTACAGCAATGCCAGTTCCCCAAAACTGCCATGATTATCATAGCGGCCCACACAGCGTGCCTGGTTGTCTTTTGCTACAACAATATCATACAACCCCCTGGAAAACAATGGAATAGGTGCTTTTCATTAGACAACATTCCAGTACAGACAACAAAAACATTTTTTTTTTGCTGTTATACAAATAGTCCTCTTATTGCTAGGTGTGACGGAACATGCTTTATTGAGTTTTCCAATTGCTTGACATTAAACTGATTCTAGCTACAGTATTTTCACAATATCTTTCCATTAATAAAGCATTTTAGTCCCGGTAGATCTGGCCAGAACCTAATTGCTTTCCTCTGCATAGTATTTTGACAATGCTGTTTTAAGTGATCCAGGCAGGGGAAAGAAAGGTAGGTGGATGGGTACGGATGCTCTTTAACTGCATCTGTCTTCTGACAGCATGTGTATTACCCAGTGAGGCCCCTTTGGGGTGTCTCAAATCCATCTATAACCTTTATTTGGCTGTTTTTTCAACAATAACTCTAAAGGTTGTTGCTCCTGATGCCTCTCAGAGAGGGAAGAGGTCTTTTTGAATCTAGAAGAGCCATCTGTGAGCACCTTGAGTGAAACGGAACAACTTCTTCCCATCCCTCAGCCTGAAAGTCACTTACTAGTGCTATTTGTTTCCAAATAACTATAGCCATGTAACCTTCAGCCTAGCATTCAGATGTCTGCAGCCCAAGGACTCTATGGGTGAGGTGTCACTGGGTGACCTTGGCTCAGCCTTAGAGAGAACTTGCTGAGCTATGAGAGTCTGTGAGCTAAAGCTCTGCAAGGTAAGAAGAATAAAGACACAGACCAAAGTGTCATTGTTGAGATGGTAATCACACATAGCTCAAGGACTCAAAAGAAAAATGCTCACATGAAAAAATATAAAATCCCTAAGGAAAAAAAGCAGAAAAGGGCAACTCAGTAAGATGGTGGACACACCATGAGGATGTCCACCTCTGTCACATTTGATTGCCCTTGGCAAATGATCCAAAAGTCAATGGGAACCTAAAGGGGAACATGGAAAGACAAAAGGAAGAGGCAACAATGGCAAAAAGCATGTTTCCTTCGGAAACTATCTTGGAGTAAGTATTCCCTGCTATTTCTAAGAAGCTGAAAAGAAACATGCTTCACTTTTCAAAGGCACAGCTGCTTACCACTCAATAACATAGAAGTTGTCTCCATCATCCCCTTGATCAATCACATGTTCCTGAGGTTTCACCTTCCTCTCAAACATGGCATCAAGGACCTGAGACAGCTGCTCCTATAAAACAAACAAGAGCGGGGAAAAAACACATTCAGAAAACACAACTTGGCATTATTTGCTGGACAAAGGCAAGTTCATTTGACCTGATCTGGATAATGAACTGCAGTATGCACTGCATTATTTTTACTTGTATGCAAATACAAGTAATTTTGATATTGAATTTTGCTTTCAACTAGAAAGTACCTCACTTTGTTTCTAGCTTATATTAATATAAGTTCAATATTGCAGACAAACAGATGCTTCCCTTACAGAAGGGCTATTATCTCAAATTTATGTTCAAATTGCTTTGGCACTGAAATGGTATGCATAAGTTAAGCACATATGTATAAGCACGCTCTCACTTGGTATAATCTGACACATCTTCACTGCAATGGATACATATGGATTTATATCAGCAGTACACATATTTCATTATATGTATGTCTAAAAACCACACCACAATTTATTAATATCTTATTTGCACTGTCATCAGCCAAGAGCCCCAACCATGACAAGGGCTGTACTCAACAAGCCTCTGGACAAACAAAGTTATTTCCCCAGATACTCTGTGTCTTAGAGAACCTGCAGCTTCTGCACCAGATGAGATCAGGTAGCCACCGAAGGAGAACACATACAGAAAGTGGGATAAGCTTTGGCAGCATAGCAGACGCAAATGGGGTTTCTCTGATGAGCCATGACTAAACTTTCTGTTGTATCCAGCACAGCCAAGGAAGTTGTAAAAGTCAAAGCCCACGCAGACAGCACAACCATACACGATACTGCTATTAACACTTTTGCAAATACAGGTCATCCAAAGACTTTTCAAAACTATCTATCTGTTCTGGTGAGAGAAGCCACTCATATAAAGGCTTCACCCATTTTCTGCAGGAGAGGTCAAACCACCCAGCCAGGGAAAATAAATGTTATCTCCTCCCCCTTAAACACTGCACTCATCCTACACCATTTTCACTTAATGACTAAAATTTTGAATTGAGATGTACAAGTTATTAAAATAAATGCCTAACACTTGCAGTATGCTAGAAGCACAATGTATTTGACAACATTACTTGTTACATTATTTTTCATTACAGCATTCCTCATGGTAAGTGCTAGGAAATTAAGACACAGCAGATAGGCAATTTGCTAAAGCCCACTGGAAGACAGTGAGATCCCACAGTGGTATTCCCACTGCAGACATGTGCTGATTTATTCAATACCTACACGGCACATCAGTTGCAGAGCTGGGGTTAGGAGCCATCTCACCCTACAGCCAAACAAGAGATAAAACTCTCTAACACTAGAAACTCAGATCCACTTCGCTTTCTTCTCCAGCTTCCTTCCCACAGTCCTTTCCATGCCGGCACAGACTAACAAGGATTTTTTTTAAGTACATGCCATAAAAGCTTTTAAACTACATTCCCAATCACATAGCAATTTAATAATATATCTTTTAGATAATTCTAAACAATCTTTCACCTAACACTGTAGGTGAATAATCTTCTCATTTTCACAGAGCTGGTTCAGACATTACTGCCATCACACAAGGATCCAAGCACCCTGCCATTTCCCACACATGAAGCACTACAGCTCACAGAAAGTATGTGCATTTCTCCTCCATTTTTTGTTTCACAAGAGCTCCAGAATAAAACTCCAGGTTTAAAAAAAAAAGTCTCTACTTTTCACACTTCTGTCATCATCATTTATAATGATCTTGCAAGGTATCTCAGACATTCAGCTCTAGACTTGGCTCAGCTACAAGATTATTTGGCTCTAGACTTAGCTCTAGGCAGCTGGGCTCTAAAGCATTTGGTGACTTGGCTCCAGATATCAGGGTGCTAGAACATTTACCACTAGATCATTCAGTCCTAGATGACATAGCTCTAGACTGTTTAGCTCTAGACTTAGCTTTAGACCTAGAACTAAACCATTTAGCCGAAGACTTCGCTCCATACCTTTCAGCTCTGCACTGCTTGGCTCTAGACTGTTCACTGGCAGACTCTCTGGTGCAAAACTTAGCTCTGGACTGTTTGGCTCTTGGCATTTTGGCTCTGCATTGTTTGATTCTAAAGCATTTGGAACTAGACCTTGAGGCTCTAGACCGCTCAGCTCCAGACGAGTCAGCGCTAGGCTTGGTTCTAGGTGGCTTTGGCTCTACACTGGCTCTACACTGAAAATATTGCCTCTCATTTCACTCAAACTTTATTCCCTTGTCCTTAAAAACTCTCTTGATACTTAAACTAAATTAAGAACCATTGCCTGAATGCCGTTCAGCCACTTATTTCACAGCATGCATTTAAGTAACAGTTGTCAGAAAACAAGCAATATAAAACTTAAAAAGCTTTTTAAAAATACTGTAACTCAGCAGTGTTTTATTTGGAGGATAAACAGGCAGACTTATTTTTAAGTAAATGAAACACTGAGCTCTTTTGTTAATAAAAGGACAAGCTCTAGCAGATGCCTGAACGGTAAGACCCTCATTTCAAATACGGGTACTGAGGATGCCTACGGGCCTTGCTGCTAAGGATAAGAGGCGTTGCTCTCACCCAGTACGAAGTTCGGTCGTAACTAAAATTCTACAAACTCCTTTCTAAGATACTGGGGAGCATACACATGATATTTCACTCACAGCTTTAAACAGCAGAAAGGTTACCTACTCCCCCTGCACTTTAGATTGAAGCATAAATCAGGTGTATCATTGGGCATGCTCAAAACTTCAGGGTTAAACTCTGATAAATCTGGATTGATTTCAGTCCAAAGTTCTGTGTGAACCTTGCTAGCAGTGATCCACTGGACATCAGCTCCTTTGTATTTGATACCAAGTATGATATCAACTAATCATACAAGGTAAGACATTTAAAAGGGCAGTTGAGTCCCTGGACCTAAATTCAGCACAGTTCACCCACATGCAACCAGTGGAAAAGGAATGAATTTGGCGAGGACATTCGAGTCACACAAACACATTTACTCCTTGAAGGGTTTTATGGTTTGTTTTGTGTTTTTTGGTTTTTGTTGTTGTTGTTGTTTGTTTGTGTTTTTTTTTTTTAAAAAAACACTGTATTACATGGCACTCTTCTGAAGCTAAGGAGCAAAGAAAAGATTTTGAGCCTTACTTTGTAAATATTCCTCACAATTATTAAAGGATATTATGCACCAAGCAAAAGCAGCAGCCATGCATTTCGCTATTCAGTAGGTAACCTTCCACAGAAGTCGTATTTCCCAATTGTGCAGAGGAGGTTAAAAAGAAATTATTGAGTTATGGGGTGAAAGGAGGCAAGTTCCATACACCATTTAAGGTATACTTAATACTAGGAAAATACTCCCCTCTCTGTGAAGTGCCCTTTGTCATACTATAATTAATGTACGTACTGAAGTCATCTTTCAGCCATGTGCTATCTTAAAGCAGGAGTCTTCAACAGCTGCAGTTAAGACCATTTCCATTACTTCTCTCCCCAGTTGCTTAGAAAGCTTTTCCCAAGAAGCAGTATTTTTCTAAGTTCCGGTTTTTCAGCTCAGATATGTTTTTCAAAGTCACCTTTGAGTATGAACTGTTTATTAATTTTTGCTTCTGGGTTATTTTGCTGGAAGCTAAAAGATCGGCCTAATCAATTTGAATAGTGATCACGTTTTGTACATACCCCTTGAGCTGCTGAATATACTTAGATGTTTCATTTTTTACTATACACAATCAGGTTACTTGCAAAAGGAGCATTTTAAATGTCTCAAGTAAATAGATACAATGACAGAATCCCAGAACAGCGAAAGAACAGTCTTTGAAAGGACAGCTTTCAAGGAAACTTTTTGACTGAATGTGAATTTCTTAAGCTTACTGCAGTCAAAAGCTTTTAAATACTCCTCTGGGGATGCAGTTTGATGACTCTTGGAGGTTGTACAGCAACCAAGAACTGTGAGAACTTCAAGGAAAGCTGAGCAGCATTTCTGAAACCATAAACTAAAGCCTTTTATATCTCAGACAAAGCTCTGATTCAAACCAGGAAGATGCAGGGACCACTGCTTGTGTTAGAGCTTTCATTCCTCCCCTTTGTTTTTATGTAGTACAATAGTAGTACAATAGAAAAATAAAATAAAATCAACCTGTAGTGGAGATGTCAGTTCCATTTTGATGGAAACACCAAATCAGATATGAGAAGCACTTGTTCTGTGGTCTTTCAGAGGCTGGATTTTATTATTTCCAGAGGTCCATTCCTGAACTATCCTACATACCCTGAACTATCCTACAAACCTCATTTAAAAAAACGAAAAGCAAAAAACACAATTACATTTGCTAAGAGCCAGCAGCAATGGAGACACTCATCATTAAAACCCCATGCGGAAGCAAGCAGCAATTAATTATTAACTTCAGCAATAAATCTGCAAGATGAAGAAGAACAAGGACAATCTAAAAACATTACTTTTACATTCACTTGCAGAAAATTTACTGACACACTGACATTTAAAAAAAAGGTGAAGCAATCTAAAATCAAGCAAATGTAGACAGAGTTCAACAATTATAAATTGCGTAAGTTACTTCAATTTTAAATTGCCCATGAAATTACGAGCCGTTCCATCAGGAAAAGCAAATGAAGTGCAATGGTACCCAGGTAGTAATAGACAAATAGAATTTATAAAATACTTCTTCCTAACAAAAACATAAAAAAAATATAATTTGCAGGGACAGTGATCTAACAGTCACAGTAACTGACAATTTGACCTGTTTGTATTGTTCATTGATGGTAATCTCCAAATACATGCCCCAAGCCAGTCTGCTTATAATTAAAATTTTATGAACTATCACAATACAAAAACAGTGTCTGGACTGTTAGATCAAGCTACAAAACAGCAACTCCAGTTTAGAGTTCCTTAAACTGATATTACCTGATCTAGATTTCTGAAGAGTAGGATATCTTTACATGCTTCCTGCAGTCTGCATCGCTGTTCGTCAGTTTTTGGATGAACTACCTTCAAAAAAAAAAAAAAGTAAAAATACACAAACTGTCATGACAGCAAAGAAATACGATTACAAATTGAACCTTCACTTCAAAATGAAAACACAAACAGAATTTTAAAGTAACATAGTATAAAGTTCTTTTTTGTTGTTTGCATAAACACTATTTACATATAAATGTACAATGCAAGACAGAGTGAAAGGAAAATACGGAAAAATATTACACTGACAATTAACACACGTTAAAAAACAGTGAAGAGAGACAGTGAAGGATGCCTTTCCCTTCCCTTCTAACTGAGCTTTATATACAGTCACAAATAAACCTTTCATCGTGTTAAAGTAACCAACATTCACTGTGTCTCATAAAAATCTTTATCTGCTCTTTTTTGATTGGGGGGATAATTATGAAAATGTATAAAAAGCTTTAATAAGTTCACATTCACTGTATTAACTGTATTTCTGGAATAACAGGAGTTCTGAAAAACTGTTACATTAGCAGGCATTTCTAAATATTCTTTGTCCAAGCTTGAGTAGCAGACCTCATTTGAAAATACATACATACATATATATATATATACATATTTTTACTGATTTTGAGCCAGCAGTCAGAAAAATTAACACTTTTGATGAAATAGATGTATCCAGGTTTAAAACCATTTTGATTGTCAGACAGTCTTTTTTTCCTTTTTTTTTTTTTTTTTTTTTTTTTTAGCATCTTATGTATGAACTATCTTCTCGTTCAAGACAAATTAGATTAGACTTAGACTTTTCCTTGCAGAAGTGTAAGCATCAGTGAGATGGAATCTGGAAATGGAACATCAGGAAGCCCCTAGAGAAAACACTGACCCTCACCAGCCAGGCTACAGGATTTCCTCACATAAAACATCTCTAAAGAAAGACAATAACAGTACCTGGACTTGCAATTCCTAGAAATTTCCAACTTTCAAAAACAATTGAACAACAGGTGGTCACAAGTCTCAAAACCTTTCAGGGAAGTATTGCTCCTACCCAGGCAAACAGCTTTGACAAGAAGGCAATGAAAAGCATGTGAGGAATTTCAAATACCCATGAAGGAACAGCTGTGCTTGAGTTTAACTAAACCTTCCTAACAGCACCAGTACTCTAGGAATTCCCTCAACAAGCGTTAAGTATAATTAAGAAAAGAAAATATCCAAACTTTTATAGACTGGCAGACGTAAGTATAGATATCAAGTCCTCTAAAGTAAAACTATATCAAAGCTACAGTGACAAAATGAGTGTACGTGATAAAGTAGCCTTAAGGTTCAGAGCAATGTCACATTGTCAGCGACAGCACACCTCACCACCTCGCAGAATGAAATGCACAAATGGTAAGGAAGTCGCACATACTGACGTCTGCTTGTCATGCTGTAGAGAGAACCACGCACGGTGCAATTCATTCATTCTTACCCTTTGTTCTGTATCTTCTTCTTCTTCATCTGGATCGAAAGCCTCAGCACAAACTATAGAAAAAAAAAAAGTACATTAGAATAATAATATCAAACAAAGCAAGTTTATTTCCTCTGGATTCATTATCTGTATTTTAATTTCCTATAGGGTAAAAAAAAAAATAACTTTTTCTTATGTTGTAATGATGTCAGAGACTTAAATTCTATCTATTCTCAGAACAAGCACAGCAGAGCTGTTCTCAAACTCATGTAAGAAGTCTGTAACTTATGACAGAAGGTAACATTGCCTATTGAGTACTCAGGGGCACAGGTAGATTTCCTTTTATTTTTTATCAAAGCATAACAATCACTATTCCGATTCATTTATGAACACACTCTCCAACAGGCAGAGCAAAAATACTGCAGCTACATTGCCCCATTCTCTGCAGTACACTGCATATAGCAAAACTCACTGAAAAAAGGGCAAAGAGGCATGTGGCACTCACTCTTCCTCAAGGCCAAATTTGCAAGTATCTACAGCTTTTAGTTTGTTTGCTTTAATAAAGAGGAATCACATATTTACTCAGAAATTAACCTGGGAAAGGAATAATCAGCCCGATATTAATATTCTATTTAAAAAAATGTGTAATCCCCTCCCCCAATATGCTCCTATATCTTATTACATTTGAATCAAATGAACATCCAGTTCCAATATGAAAATGACACTGCAAAAATCACACAATTTGATTTGTTCTTATTCTTTTAAAAAAAAAAAAATATTTGTGGAAACCATACACTCCAGTGCAAAGGAACAAGGCTTCCAAACAAGTCATTATAATTACAGGATCAGTTACGGGTGAGGTAACTGATAATGATGAGCTTCTAAAATTTCAAATTATTTTTGTCCAGTTTTATTTCTTCAGAAAAGGCTCACCTTCACAGTTACGCTATTACACAGTTTTACAATACTAAAAAACAGACTCCTTTGCTTGACAGAAGCCTAGATCCCTGGTTCAGATTTCCTTATTAATTCATGGACATTTGCCGTTCATACATGTCAAAGTGAACTCTACATTCTAACTACCTGCACAGACAGAGAAAGCAAGAGTCAGTCCTGTGTTCGTCTTCTCCTGCTCTTGCTGTAATAAGGATGGTCTTACTGCTGAGACTATACAATACTTGTAAAATTTTACAAGGAAACACAGACAAGCATTTTTCTTTGTACTTTATCCAGCATCCTGACAATACTGAAGACTTGGCAGAATGCCCAGAAGCTCGCTGCAATGACATATAATAACTGAATGGACTTAGAAAGTATAAATAAAAATAAGCAGACAGGAAAAAAAAATCTAGAAGGCTGCCTAGCATTCAGCAACTTGCAAATAATTTGAAAATGCATATACAACAATTGACCTTGTCGTGCTTTCAGAAAGGACTACAGAAATGTGCAAGTTTAGCATAATTTGCTAGGAAAGACTTGACTTGCCTTTTTTTCTTTTTTTTTTTATTCCTGCCTAAAAGGTACAGGTCTTTTCTAGCAAATTACATTTTGATTTGTTTTTTCCTGGAGACAGTGAAGAGACTAGAATACAATGCAAGCATTCCATTCATTGCACCACAATGTAAAATCCCAATCATCCCAATCATATAATCATTAGCTATTTAATGAGCACTTATTGCTATCAGTACAATAAACCCGGCGTTGTACTGCTTCTTCTGGCTTGCACCATTCACAATACAGAAACGGTGCACCAGCGGTGTGCTTACAACACATGCTTTTACTTTAAAAAAGTGGTCTACCACCCGTATTTAGGGCAGGTCTTTCACAAAGGATAAAGAGCATCCTTCCAATGCTGAAAAAATGGTATGGTGTAGAGCACAGCCCCAGGATGGCTGCGTTACGGGAAGGTAGACGGCTCAGAGTCCAGAACTGGGACTGATAGGCAAACATTCCCTTAATACGCTACACAAAGGCACTAACAAAGAGAACATTATTAGCATTTCTGTGTGAAAGCTTTCCTCCTCCTTTCATTTTACAGCACAGATCAATGTCTATTATGAAAGCTTTGAATTTTCTAATAAGAAACATTTTCTTCAAAGAAAGGCTCCTTGTTTTATCCAGTACAGTAAAACCGGAGATGAAAGTTATCTTTCTCCTTTATAACCAGCATATCTTACCAGTAACTAGAGATCGATTCTTTATTACGTACCGTAATAAGTACTATAAAAGCACCTACCTACGTCTCTTACTGGCATATAAACACATTTAAGGTGCATACCTACGAATTCCGACATCATCATACTTCATTATAAAGCTATCATTTAAATTCTCAATATTAAGCTGCAAGTTAAGTTCTGTTCCTGCCTCAACTGCAGGGTAACTACTGCTAATTGAGGAAGTTCTCCAAGATTTCCTTGGGAAGACAAGTTTCACTGCCATAGTATACTGCATTAGAGCAAAGCATTATCACAAAGCAAACAAAACAACCAGTATCAAACAGTTTTGTTTGGGATTTGTACATTTACGTCTCTCCCATTTCATCTTACAATCCAGTAAGAATGAAAACAGATTCCTGAAGCCCGCTACGGGTACGGACTAGGACACCTAGGACTTCTCCCTTACATATGGAAATCACTTCAACATGACAAGGGGCACTACAGAAATATAATAAAAACGTGGCAAAAATCAAATAAAAAAGTATAACGGGAAGACTTTTCTTCAGCCTACTGCAGAGATTTCTTTATTCGTGCAGGAGCAGGGCAGGCATTTTGTATTTCAACGGGCAGCTCTGGCTGACAAGACTTTATTTGCTTGCAGGCAGAGCTGCAGCACAATGCAACATACCTGCTGTTGGGTGGTAAAAAAAAAAAAAAAAAAAGAAAAAAAAAAAGTGATGAGTTCTGAATTCAAGCTTAACCTAATACCGTGATATGCTGGAGGCCCACAGAAAGCTCTTCAGCCTACCCATATTAATACATAATGACTACCATTTTCCAAATACTTTAAAACATGACTAAGGAAAAGAAAAGGAGAACATTACATCAACATCATTCTGTGGTTCGTGTCTCAATACACCCATTTTTTTTCCTTCTACCTTTCCTAACTGATAAATTAATTGCAAAAGACTGCACTGTTGAACGCATCATCTATCAAGATATGCGGGTCAGACTTACCTTCACTGTTTCACATTTTCTGTGCTCAAACAGCATTGCTTCTCTGTCCTGGATTGACAAGAACTCCCGTAACTACACTGAACTTATGCAAAACCCAGCAGAAATCTAGGAAAGTTAATTTCAGGATGCCTGAAAGTCACTCATTTTCAAGTTGCAGTACAGCCAGTCCAAATGGAAAGCTAATTGATATTTCACCTTGATGGAGTGAAAATACCTGCTCTATTATTATATACGTGTCTGAATTAATATTTTAACTATCTTAGTGTCCTAATAAAACAGATACACCAAAGCAAGCTTATTCTCATAAGATTGCCCTAAATAGATGTGTTTGGCAGCATCTTTTCAGACTCATTTAAACATCAGTTAGAAAGGATCTCTCTCCAGCCCAACCTACCCTCAGAGGGGAGTTATTTGCAACACTAGATCAGGACTGACTTGGGTATCTCCCTGGGTAAAAACTTCACAGCTCCATGGCAGACCTGTTCCAATATTGCACTGCACTCCTGAGAACGAAGCTTTTTTTTTTTTTTAATCTCATAAATATCTAGAAATAAGTGACTTCTGAAATCACACCTATCTGAGATTTTCGGCACAACTCTGCCCTTGAGCAAATGCTAGGTATGAAAACACCACTGAAAGTCCCACACAGGAGTGACACACACTGATCACATATTTCCAACAGCATAGCTGTATCAGCATAGATATACACTTCATGAAGACCAAGCGACTTTCCAAATCTACCAACACAGTTCAAATACCTTTGAAAAAGAAGGGTTTTCAATCTCTAGAAGCTTTAGGGAGAAAAGCTTTGATTTTTATTTTTTTTTTTATCTTAACATCTACATTTTGCCTCTCTTAGCTTGTTCAGCTTCTACAGCTAGTTTAGCTTTCTCCTCATACAGCACCTTCTTTGGCTTTCAAGAAGCAGCACATCTGTTAACACTTCTGAAGGCTCAGAAATGATGCAACTTCGATCTGCGCTTTGTTATGCAGGTGACAGCATCTGAAAGCAATAAAAATCTTTCTGGCTGCAGCAGTGACATAAGCTGTGGTTGGCGGGGGTGAGGGGGGAAGCAAGAGGTGGGGAGAGAATTGAAAGTAGGAAGAAAAGTTGGCCTCTACAACTATCAGCTTTGTTTATGCAAGTTTTAATCGCACCCAAGATACTGCTTTGCAAAATATGTTTTGTCAAGATCAAAGTCCTTGTGCTCTATGCAAATTGCAGAATGTTTCAGCTCCTGTAAGCAAAGCCTTTGTGAGAAACACATGGTTGACATCACTTTTTTTTTTTTTCCTTTCTTTCAAAATAGCAGCCAAGAGGCTGGGATCTGAAGACCTTTGGACAAACAAGAGAAGTTTTTAATACTGGACGTCAAAATTCTGGGTTTTATATAAGCCAAATGCTTTGTTGATATTTTTGCTGTTGTCGGAAGAAGCAGCAAAGACATGCTGCTTCTGTCATTCTCTGTGTAATTTTGGATAGCACTTTCTGTACTTTGGAGTGAAATCCTATTCACTCCTCTTTACTTAGAAGGATACATTACCTCTAGAGCATCCTATGAGACCCATCAATAAAAATCCGCCCAGAGCAGCAAATGCAGAGCCACTTTCCAGCCACTTATTCAGATCGGTAATCTTGCACTATGTTTTAGGCTAGGTTTCTTGCATTTGAGCTTGCCAAAGCTTCCTGCATGTCATAAGTCTGTCTCTTAGGGGATGGATGTGTAGCCTCTTCTGCGAGCAGTACGCCAGCTGGAGAGGTGACCGCTTCCAGTGGCTTCTCACTCCCTCTTTGACAGCTGAGTTGCTAAAGCAGGCACTTCCAAACCGATGCAGTCCAGATGAACTTAGGAAGCTCAAACAGCTGGCGTAGCTCAATATGATCTGCTGTACTTCAGGAAACAAATTCAAGTTTCCTCTCACTTTTGTTACTGGATAGCTCGGTAACTTTTGGTTTAGCAGTTGCACTGTTTCCTGAGTTAAAGATCTCACCGTGTCAAAGATGATAACAAATTCATTCCTAATCCTCCAAGAGGCACAACTGAGACACGACTTACAGCGACTGGGACTTGAGCAAACAACACCCCCTCAGATCTCCATCAGATACTGACACAAAACATTCAAACCACACCACCGTTCCCATGACCGTATACGTCAAAGTGTAAAAAACTTCAGTTTATAAATATTCAGAAATAATGAATCTAAGTGGCAAAGGAAAAAAAAAATGGATTTTCAGTTCTGGAAACAGCTACAAATTTAATTTAAAAGTTTAAAGTGAAATAGAATGAAATCAACTCAACATGTGCAGTTATTCTGCATTGTAGAGTAACTGTGAAGATACTAAACACAGGTAGATTAGGAGAAAAGGTAGCAATGTTCAGCTGGCTCTCCCAAAGCACTGCTCACGTACCTAACCCAACCCGAACATGCCCATCTCTGACAAGGACACTACTGGTATTTCACTACTTTAACAAAGCAGTAAATGAGGTTGCAGACAGAGGCTGAAAGGAGCCAGTCTGGATCACAGTTACTTAAGGCACAACCCTGGGGAGCCGTTTTTGCCCAAGGAGGCTGGGGCATTGCAATCACTTAAAAGAACCAGATGATGTATTACAGTGCTTGCTGTCCTTGCCTTTAGAAACCTTTGATAACTGCTCCCTCGGTATGTTTACATACTTTCCAGGCCTATTATCTACATCAGACTGTTCCAGCTTGTCTTCTTTCTGACATACCAAGAAAGAAATGCAACAGTTCCAGTGACAATGGCTTGTGATAAAACCCTAACGCCAGTGTCACACACTCCTGCTTCATCCTGATTTCACTTGTGAGCTCCGAGTATAACCCATAATCAATTATAAATGTCAACGTCTATGATAATGTGGTTGTGTGTTGTGGTTTTTTTTTCTTTACAGTTAATTTTCAGAACACAATCCTCTGCTTGTACATCTTTATTGAAATCCTCTTTCTACTCAGGAACAGTTAAAATAAAACCTGTGTTGATGCGGGGCTGGGGACAGAATTCTTTTCTACATTTTTGGTACAACCTGATGAATATTACTCCTTATATTACTCCTTTTCTTTTTTTTTTTTTTTAACCAATGTTTATCATTGTATTTGCTGTATTTAGTCACCTGTTGAATTATTCAGAGGCACAACTTTTACTTAATACCTTTATGTACAGGTTATGTGAAGTACTTTAGCTCATCCTTCCCTTTTATGTGCTCACAAGGGGCTACTACCATCCCACCTCAAAGAATTCAGGTTCTGGCAAATAATAAAATCGTAAGGCTATTATTTTGTTCCAGAAAAAAAAAAAAAAAGCTGAATAAAAAAAATAAAATCCTTCTAAATAAAATCTTCTAAAGGTACATATCTGCGTACACTCCAATAATTCTACATAATTTCTAGATTGTAATTTTTTATTATTTTAAATCCTACAATTTACAGATGACTTATCATGAAAGCACTCTATATAGATCAAACACAGCACTCTGCAAGCAGTGTCTCTTTTGTACAGCTGGAGAAGCCAAAGGACAAGATTACACGATTTCGCAGAAGCCAACTACTAAGCCACAAGTGGGACCGCTGCATTTTTGGCTTCCATGTCTCTACTCGTGACAGTAGAGCCCCGCATCCCATCAGACAGTCTGCTCTGGACCTGGCAGTAGGAGGCAAGCCTGCAGGAAAAGTAACGACAACAAAAAGCTTTCCATCACAGTAGAGGACTGATTAAAACAGAAAGCTTTCCATGTGGCAGTATCAAAAGAGTTCACAGCTCTGACATGGGAACAACCTAACCCAGAACATAGTCCTTTAGATCTTAAACAGTAATTCAAAGGTTGCTACTTTTGTTTCTACGTTCTTTTTCTACTTTTAAACAAAATAACAAAGTATTTTAGCATTAGATATTACCATCGTGTGTGTTGATGCCTGAGAAATTCACGTGAAGCAAGCTTTATTCTTGCAAGTTCAGGAATCAGAAGGCTGCCATGGATAAACATGCTGCTGACCTTGGTCAAGCCTTCTAAGAGAGCCTTACCGATGAGATAGTCATCCATAAAAAAGGTCTCCTGGAAAACATGATGCTACTACTATTTCAGAGCACCCAGCTTCACAATTGTAGAAGTAAACCTTCAGCTTTAGTGATCTTCTGTTTGAGCCAGTCACATAAATCTTACCACACTTCTAAATAGTTATGTAACCAAAGCAGATAAAACCAGAAACTAAGCACCAAAATGTCGACATGCCTGACAAACACAATAATACCGTGCGTCTCAGTCAAAAACAGCATGCAGAATGGTCATTTCACATTCTGGTTACATCAAAACACCACAAGTTCCAAGAAATGGCCCAAATGCATACCTCCACAACATAAAAAAAATAAAAATAAATCTGCCAGGCTTTTAGTTGCACAGAATAGATAGGAAAGACAATCTAGCTGAGAAATAAAACAGAAGTAGTGTTTTTCCATTTTAGAAATAAGAACTTCTCTTTCAGTCTCCAGACCAAGGCATTTGCTGTTTTTATACTTGCGATTCTGATACGTGAATTGCTAAACCTGCAATAAGGCACATGATATTATAAATGAACCACCAGCATCTTAGGCAAAGTGCACCAAAGTACTCGTGTGTTAGAACAGCAGGTATTTAGCAATGAAAATCACCTGCATCTTCCTGGCATCGATCACGACAGAGAAATGAAGGATGTTGATGTGTTAGAAGGCATTTCTGAAATTAATGGTTCAGAAACTTGGAAGTGATTTTTTAGGATTTATAGAGAATGTCCAAATAGATGAAAAAATCCATTATCCCTAACGGAATGAGTATTGCTATGTTTACCCATAGTAACAGCAAACAATATAACATAAGCATGGTTTTGACACAAAAAGATTGTGTGTAGAGTGATGTGGAAGTCCTTGGATCCCTGTGCTTTGAGATGACTGCATCCTATCCTGGCAGGCAGGCAAAGCAGGGAACGCAGAAACCTACTGTCCGATCCCTTGAGGAAAAACCAAACAAAACCCAGCTGAACAGCAGCTAACTTCATTTCTGCCTAGCTGTGCAGTAAATGTGGGGCTCTGCTAGTAACTGAGAACACACAACTATTTGACTTGATGCAACTTACCTTTAGGATGAGTCAACTCTGGATTTTAGTGGCTCGCTGAATAAATGGATGTACAGGAAACCCACAGCTGAGCCAGTCTGGCAAAAGACTAAAATTAGGCAGAACTTAATCAGTTAGAAGTTGTGCGCTTTATTCATAAGCAGTAAGTTCTGTGCTTTCCTGATATGAATTAGTGAGTTTAAGAAGGATACTCTCCTTCCTGTGCCCAGTTCTGGAGATGTGGGAAATATACACTCAGATACGGTAATCGTGGAATCAGGTAAGTGCTTCCGGCAGCCAAATACCCATCTCCCACAGCCAAGCCATGATTTATTAAGCCTCTCTTTAAATAAGATCACTATAAAAGTGGTCACAGGACTTCCTAACTGAGATTGCTTTAAGCGCATTATACTCCCTGTAGTTAGTTTTTAGCATGCTGACCTCTGGAGCTTTGCATTATTTGGAGTACGTGCAGTCTCCTGAGGTGTTGTGGTGTTAAAAATGACTCAGGGAAGGTCCTGAAAACACATGAAACATCCTTTCATATTTAAATCAAATAAAGTGCTACTTTATTTATTAACATGAACAATGCAAATCACTTCCAACTCCTGAAGTCACTTCAAATATATACATCACAGAACCATGCCTTGCACTAAGCATAAAACTGCCTTTTTAGCCTTTATTATGTTATGGATTTTGAGATTTCCTCCAGTGTGTTTGCTTTCAGTTCATTATGTACAACAAAACTATGTGAGAATGTTGTAATTTGGGCTTGAATTTGCATGATAAAACATAGCTGGGGTTAATAAATAAATAAATAAATAAATAAATAATCTCCATGTAGAATCTCTGTGTAACCTCCACTCCAACCCCTCAAAACATGATAATGAAATTTTATTAAAAAATCAACTGAAGGCTGCGATTTTTCAAAAAGTATTTATATATCTAAAGATAGACTAGCATTTAAGTACACCTTTTAACGATCCTTTATGTAAAAGAATTAATCACATGCACCTTTTGCCACCTGAATACTTTTGAAAGACTAATCCTTAGATTATTAAACTGTTTAATAGATGTGCATAGTTACAACTTACTTCTCCCAATTAATAAAAAAGGACTAATCTGAGTTAAAGATATCCAGCTTCAGATGGACAATTTTAATGATGTAACACTATAAGAATGAACAGTTATTTTAAAAGATTTAACAAAGAGAAAAACTGAATGAAATCTACTCTACTGCTGCACTACTTATTCATTTATATTTGCATTTAGTAGTTTGCATCAGATTGGGTCCTACCAGATACTAAACTAACTTCAGTCTTAGATATGGATGCTCATGAGGTGCTGCATTTCTCTATGTCTTAAACAAAAAAAATAATCTAGCAAATTACAAACAGAATTATTCACAAGTGTGAGATTCAAGTAATTGTGAAGTCACGACTGCTAATTTCTGAAAATAAGCTTTTCATTATTCACTGAATGCCAATTACATGCCAAGATTTTTTAAACAAGTCCCAGTATTGCAAACAGAAAATAGGCTTTTTTGTTGTTGTTGTTTAACGAATAATGATTCAGGCACTTTCTTACATGAGAGCACCCACACAATTTATCACCACTTTCATCTGTCATCCCACACACTTGGCTTTTGCTCATATCAACATTTTTCAAAATGTATTATTTTCACTCTAGTTATGATACCAGTTTTGCAATCATTAGGGCTAGCAAAAAATGATAGAGGCATCAGGCTGTTGAAAAAGGAAAGCTGTTCATGCCATTCGTAAAACTTTGGATTTCTGAACTCAGAAGTCTCTTTCTGTTTATCATCTGCCTCAAAACCTTTCAGCAGAATTTGTTATGCTATCAGTTTTGTAAGAGGGTGAATAATCAGGATAAAAATTCATTAAATAGCTGCAAGAGAAGAAACCAGATCATGATTTACAAGTCATCCTCTGATAATCAGTAGTCTAGCAAGTAAAAAGCAAGAGAATGGCACAAAGTCAGTCACTCTCTCCCTCCCTTGATGATATAAGGTGATGAGATTTTTTAATCACTGAAGTAGCAGTGCATCCTGCAAGAGAAAATACTTGAAACCAAAAAACATAAAATAAAAAAGTCTTGCCTCTTGCTTTCTCTCTTCATTGCTATCATTTAGGTGTCCTTATTTTTAACAAGATCCCAAAACTGTTGTGTCTTTTGTGGGGCTTTTTTTAAACCAAATACTAACACATTGCTTGGCAATAATTAATAAAAGTTTTCTTAGAAAATGATTTTTAGAGCTGTCATTTTAAAAGTCTAGAAGCTACTAAAATGATTTTACTATGCATAATATTATCATATCCTGACATCTCAACATGCCAGGGTGTGAAGAAAATGCCGTATCTCACTGCAAAGCCCAGAGAGATATCAGACTTTAACAACATATCTACTTTATGAGATGATTGCTCTTCTTTGATAGGAGCCAAAAGAATGAAGAGAGTTGAAAGTAGAGTCCCCTACTGACAAAATCAACTAAATGTGTGGGCCTCTTACAGAAGTACACCCTGTGAGGAAAGAAAAAGCCAGGGCATCAATTTACGCATTACTGAAATATGAAATTCTATACCTACACTCTCTAAAAGTAATATGTTAAAATCTTATGTGAAGATGAAAAAACTGTTGTTTTCTCATTTGCTAGACTGCTATAAAGAAGCAAAAGAAACTTCAAAAAAGCTGATTTCAAACCCAGTATTTGTTGGGGATACTACATGACAAACCTGAGGCCATTGCCAAAGTCTTTGAATATTAATGAATAATACTGAATGACAGATGCTCATACAATTATAATACTGATAAAAGCATTTACATAAAGATTAACACAGCTAATTCCTATTGCAAACTGCTGTAATTCCAGCAAGGTTACACAGAAAATGTTTTCTTTTATTGTTATCAAGCACTTAGCTAAGGTTCCCAGCAATAACACCATACATCATAAAATAAAAGATAAAGTTTCTTTTATATTAAGACCCATAAAGGCACTTGAATCCAGGAATGTCACCAGGCAAGGATTATTTTTCAAATGGAAGGAATGGATTTTAAATATCTGTGGACCAGGGAATGAGAAAAGCAGTAACGTATGCATACGTACACACTCATTCTTTCTCCACTTGCTAAAATGTGGACTGACTAGTCATAAAAACTGCGAAGATGAAGCTGAAAAAAATACTTCCTGTGACAATTAAAAGCATAATTATGATTCTGTGATTTCATAGAATGCTGTTCCCATTATTCATGAAAGCAGTTTGAGTGGGCTGAGTTGGAATTTCAAAATGCCTTGCAATCAAATAGTGATGGGCTGTGACATTGACCATTTTGAGAAGGTAACATGACCTGAACATTGCTCAAAAAAAAAACATACATAACACTGCTAAATGATGCCCTTCTGTTAGAAGCCAATCCCACTCTGAAGTATTTGCATGTTATCTGGAAAGGATGTTTTAATCTGAAAGAGGCAAATTTCAGTTTCTATTAAATCTCATTGAAATAAACAAACAAAAAAAAATCAAAAAACACACCAAGAAATTATTTAACTTTAAACATATTTCAAGAATACCAACTGAAGATTTATATTCACAAACAAGGTATCTGAAATCAGAATACTTTTGAGCTGTATCTGTGACAGAGCAATTCTAAAAACAGTGTCTGCCAACAGGAAAACAGCTTTTTAGGCAACCTGAGAAGCAGAAGGGGGTACATTTTCCTTCCTCGGTGAGGCTACAAAAGAACACAAACACGCAGCTGAGGACTGAACAGCCTCCTCTGCTTAGCGCAGGCTCTTCCCATGCTCTGTGTTTCTCATTTTGTTTCTCTCTTTAAAATGGCACAAGCACATAGATAAGATCAAGAAGATAAAGGAAGCCATGGCACAGCACCAAGAAACAAAGATCTCCTTGGAGATCTTCAAAAGCTGCCTGTGGTCCTGGGCAGCCTGCTCTGGGTGTCTGTGCCTGAGCAGGGGTTGGACCAGATGCACCCACAGGTCCCCTCCAACCTCAACCAGTGTGATCCTGTGAAACAGCAACTACCCAGTGCAACGCTCCTCCTTAGCATCAAAGATGGCCAAGTTTACCAAAACGTTGTCAACTAAAATTTTCTCTCACTATATAAATATTTATTCCGTCTGCAATCATACCTTAGGAGAGGGCTTAGCACCTGCTTCCAGAGACAGCAAATTTGATCCTTTCCACTTCAGTGAGTCTCTGCTGAAAGCTGCCCCTACCAAAGGGACTAACCAAAGTAACTCCCATCCACTCAGTTCATTTTCTATTAACATGGAAATGGCCACAGATCCTGATAACCATGTTATTGGGATGGCATAAAAATATTGGGGAAATAACAATATCTTGCTTCCCTACATTATATAATTTAATTGTTTATAAAGCAATTGAATGTGAAAACTGTCATCAAACCCATTCTGATCCCAGAGAGACCAAAAGGAGATTGAGGAGGGAGTATTTACACGGGAGACACCAGGTCACTCAGATAAACTGAAATCACTGGAGAAAACAGATTCAAACTTTCTGCCACAGGTCTATAGTACGGGTGTCATTTTGTCAGTTTTTTTTTTCTTTTTTAATCCTGTAAAGAAGTCAGCAAGTCTGCTGGAGAGTGGGTGTTTTGTAGAATGAATCAAAGGTGTCTAGAAATGGTAATATGAGAAATCCAGTAAGAAAAGTTTACTTTTTTGAAAGATAAGACTAAAGGAAGAGGAGAAACTATGCCCAACTGAGACTGAAGTAGGCGTGACAGTCTTCATTCCAAAAACACAATTAACTTTCATTCATACACAGTCAGCAGCAAGCTCTCCTCAGTTGCTGCAGTGGGACAAATAGCAATGCTTTCTCTTCCCTCCAGTTCTGAAATAGCTTTGATATTGGTTGTGAAAGGAGACACCACTGATGTCTCCCACCTTCCTGCCCTGCCTGCAGTTGCTAACCAAGGGCCAGGGGTATTCTCTGAGGTTGCTCTCACTACAGATAGGGACCTGACTAACAAACCAAAAAGTTTGTCAGGAGCCCCTATACTTGGAAGTAGATCAAGAAATGCAATCATGCAAGAATGAATTTCAACACAATCCAGCTCTTGGACAGGAACGTATTTGTATGGTTCTCAGGCTATCCAAACCAAGCCTGGGCAGACTGAGTCAGGCAGCAAGAAGTGTAACATGAGTTACTCATACCAGCAAAAGGCTCAGACATTGCTAATTTGCTTAAAGCAGCAGCAAGAAGACTGTTCTACTGGGTAATTAGCACTGAAATTGCCAATGGCACCACAGTCTTTTGCATCGCATAGTCAGGAGATTTTAAAACTGGGGTGGGAGGGGGAATACGTGCAATTACTGCAAAGATAGATTACAATTTTTCAAATATTTTAATCAAGTCAGTCACCAGCTTGTTACAAATTAGGACTGACACCATGCTTGAGGTTTGAGTGCCTGCCATGGAACCTCAATCTGTTACGTGGCCAAACATGCTATACGCGAGTAATGTGTTCATTAAATAAATTCTAAGGGAACATCGAGCTCTCGTTTCTCTTTCTCCCTCCTCGCACTTCTTGGAAAAGGCTGTTTCTCTTCATAAGAACACTGCTTTACCACTCTGCACTTCTATAAATAATGCCACGAACGTGATTAGATAAGCCTCCTTTCCCCAGGATGACCCTCCTGCACAGATTGGGGAGTTTCTCACTGACCCACCCAGGGCCACCTGCTTTGCAGGCTGAACCTCTGACCAGCACACAAAGCTGTGTTTCTCTGGTCAAGAAGCAACTGGTATTCTCTACAGAGCATTTACAGCTGCCAAACCACTTGGAAGAGTTTAATGCCAAGCACGCCACTCACTCTCCCTCCCTCAACAAGGAGCACATCAGCACAGGAGATGTTTAACTAGCAACAGCAGCAGAAATGGGGAGCGAACGTGATACAAAAGCAATATTATCATTTTGGGTCAGCAATCTGAGAAAAGACGTACATGGAAAATTAACTGGTCTTCTGGAAAAAAAAAATACAATCAAGATAGTTTTAAATTTAAAAGGTTAGCTTGACCTTCCTCATAGATGGCTATTTCTCAAGCAGTTTTTATGAATCCTGATGTTCTTGAAGTACTTTATTGAAGTTCTGCATAAGCTAGAAGTGAGTAAACTCATCTGCTCAAGGTTTTTAAAACAAGCGAAAGTAAACTTCCTGTCCAATTCCTGCCTCTGGGTTAGAAAACTTGTACTTTGAGTAAATCTTACAGAATGACAGCTAAATATTTACTGACATTAAAGCAGCATTTGCCAGTACAGTCAAAAAAAACAAGAACACCACGTTTAGATTTTTTAACAACTAAAAACCTAAATGAAAATTCAGTAATTTCTAAGTTTGCTCCTTACTGAAACTTCCCTGCAACTTGAAAAACCAATACAATCTGGTTTTGCTACATGCACCAAAATGAAAAAAGATGCAAAGAACTACAGGCACCATTCCTTCTCCCTGTTTCCTCAGCTGTATCCAGTTTGGAGCAACAGGAATAAGAAAATATATCTTCCATGGGTTTACGTATCCTTGGAATTTGCATTAGTACCCCCAAGTAATCAGGATCATCTGGTTATCTTTAAGGAGCTAATCACAACTTACCAGATGTAACCATTCCAAATTTCAGTACCAAAGGCAGAAATAAAGCAGTTTAGGAGAGAATCTGTAACTACTGTATGCAAGTTGAAGACATTTTAATTGAAATAAAAATACTGCAAGCGGTATAAGAAATTAAAACAGTAATAAAGAGGGTCATTGTTAATACAATTCCTATAGTCAAATGAACGTTTCAAAACTTCATCAGAAACATGAAATTCTTAAAAGAAATAACATACCTGATACTCTTCTGTTGCATCGGTTAATAACTGGAGCTGCAAAAGAAACAAATCAAAATTACAAATGCTATTTACTATTAAGAATTCACAGTCTTATCTTGAATAATCATGGTAATTTTTGCCAAATTCCATACAAGTCTCTCCCCCCCCCAAGAAACAACTAATAAATACTTTGATATAAAGCTTTGATCCGCCTACTCGCCAGACAGTAAGTATTTATTAAAAGTGAAGTTTGTCTTCCAGAAGGCCATCACATGCTAAGATAGAGAGCAAGCAGTTTGTTTTTACCCAATTCTGAAAAAACATACAAACACACACACATATACAGAGATAACTCAATCTTAACCTACCATCAAGCCCCAGCCCACTTTACATAGCATTATTCTGCAGCATCACAACGCTACGTTAGCTACACCTAATTAACATGGATTAGAAGCTGATGAAGCCCATTAGCTAAAGCATTCCATACCCCTACACACCCCAAGCCACGTAACTGAAACAGTGCATCGTTCAGCGCTCCCATACTAGCACCAGTCTTTCCCCTTGACAAAAGCTATCTTCTGTTAAAGCCAAAGAATCCTGAGGTGGATGAGCTGTTTCACTGCTTTTTCGTTCGTGCTGCTAGCTATATGTACTGATTAAACATTCTCTCTAATCTCACTGTTCACATGCATTTCTACTTTAAGCCACCCTTCAGTGAACAGCATCCTCTCCCCTTTTTCCACTGTAATCAAGTTCCTGTGTTTGAGTTGCTTCAGTCTCAACACAAAATAACCAGCCTGTAAAGCTTCACAAACCAGCCCAGAACAAAACCAAAACACTCATGTGCTCCCTCACCATTCACAACCAAAGCAATTTTATTCTGTTTCATGCTTTCCCCGTCCCTCTTCACCACAACTGATAACTGCATTTTTCTGATCTAACCAGTGACATTCCTATTCCATTCTTTAAATATTTAAGAATTAGATGAACCTTTATACTACAAAGTACACGCATCAGACAGAGCCAGACATGTGCTACCAAAGACTTAATGATACCACCATTTATTTATTTATTTTAGAAGTTAGAAACATTCCTGTATCTTAGCACTACCAGAATAGGAATATCAACGCTTTCTTAATCCAACATACAAAAACTCTTCTTCTTTTGAGCATTTTAGCAACCTCATGGTTCATCCACTTTCCAAAGACTGCAGCTTCTTTAAGAATCTTGCTTATTTTTTCTCATAGCAGGGTTTAGCGTCATCAAAACAGCACCAAGTTTTCCACAGTGTTAAAAATTAGGAAAAAAAAAAAAAAAAAACTTTTAAGGACAGTTAAGAGAGCACCATTATTCAGCCTCCATAAAGCATTTAATCTTAAATTGATAGTTTGCTTTTCCTTACACCAGTGACAGTTTTAACACCTATAAAATTTCAGGTTCACTTTTATACGTTGTCAGATGATGACTATTTTTATGCCGAATAGATACAATCTGGCGTTTCCTACCACAGAAGACGAACACTTTCTTTTGTTTTAGCTCACCAATGAAGAGCTCTCTTTGTTTATGACTATTTCAGCATCGTGCAGACAGCAGAGCTGCTCCTATGAATACTTGTGGCTTGTCACAGAAGGCACTGGCATCAAGAAGTGCTGTGAGAACAATTCGTGCGGGTCCCTGTGTTAGGGACCTACACCTGTGTTAGGCTGCGGGCAGATTCCACAAGTTTAGATGGGGTAGAAGGGACTAACGCATTCACAAGTAGCCCAGACTGTTTTGAAAGAGCTCCAGGACTGAACATAAAAGAGCATTTAACTTAAAGCAATATTCATAGGTTACTAAGAGTAACTTCTTGGACCATAGCAGCCTTTAGAGCACACGTCCTCCTTCGTAGTAACAAGAACTCCAAGAATCCCCTACACCAACCCAGCACCCTTCAGTAGAGCTATCTTCAGCAAGAAACTGCTTATCTGAAATAGGAAACGTTCCTTTTGTGTGTCCACACTTCGAATGTCCCTCCTGCACACCACTGTGCTGTGTCTAAGGTCAGTTATGTGTTAATTGAGGAAATTAAAATGAGATTAAAAGACTTTGCTGTGAGATGATTGCATTACAAACCCTCCCTTAGGTCAGAAGCCTTGTGTAGTAACACTGAAGTTTGTAATCACAGAACCATCTCGTACCTTTGGCACAGTGCTTGTTTTCACTTGTGCTGTGGGAGCCAAGACAGCAATCAGGTGAAAACAACGAAAACTGCAGTAAATTAAAGCATTGTACCAGAAGAGGCCAAAACAGCCCAATTTCCTCCCTGGAACTGATGGCAAGTGACATCAGCAGCGGGAAGACATCAAGCTGCACGTTCCATGGTTTTGCCAGAGCTCACTTCAGACAGGAAAACTACTCAACTGTTTTAAGGAAAAACAGAAGTCTGCTGAACATGTGCATAGACTGACCTGGGGCACAGCCTTGATTAAGCACTAGGTAGGAACACTCATCAGGGGCTGCTTCACAGCTCAAAAGAAATTATAAATTTTCTGGCTTTTTTTATTTATAGTTTCACCTTCTAGAACCAGTCAGTTCTCTAACTTAAATAAATACTTACTAAATGAGTAGTTATCAACTTTATATCAGTACTGCTTAACCTCATTCAGCATTCTACTTTTCCTGCAGTAGGGGAAAGAAAAAAAAAGTACACTGTTCATTCATATATATGTATGAATGCCATATACACACACATAGACACCATAAACACTCTAAGAAGAATGCTATAAAGCTGCTCAACTTCCCAGTTTCAAAAACACTTGACACTACTCTCAATCACCTAATTCCACAAAAGTAGTGACATACATATCTGCTAATTAAAGCCTGCACTACTTTTCCAACATGAAGGTACACTGCTCCGTTTATTTCATAAATGGATTTGAATCAGCTGCATTAATAAATCATTTCTGTTGGTCAAAGTCACAAACGTGATTTATATCAAACAGCAGAAACCACTACTGCCACACAGCTGTACTACTGCTTGTTAGTAGCTCCTTTTCTCACTTGGAAAATGAGGGATATAAAACCTCAAACACAGACTTGTATGAAGTGATGCTGGGAACTAATGACCTGAAATGTTTTTTGGGGATTTGGTTTTGTTTCTTAATACTTTCCAACAGTGGAGAAAACAAAACAAAACAAAACAGAGAGATTTCTCAAAAATTCTTCAGTTTGACACTGAGATTTTATTTGAAACACCTGACACTGGAGTTTGGCTTACCATGCCTAAATGACAAGAGTTGTGACCATCACTACAGGCAGGTGGGAACACTCAGCTCCAGACATGAAAAAGTATACAAAGGAAGAAGTACACACATATTACCTGCTTTTACCCTTGCTTTCAAAACCAAACCAATAATTAAGGTATTTAAACCAAACAATTGACAATAAAATTGCTCTCCCAACTTTACAAACAGGATCTAAAAGAATGCTTTTCCTACAGCGCGTGGGATCCCTTCTTTGTTGGTGTACTGAAAGCGACTGGCAAAGAACAGCACCAAGCTTTTAAAAAGTTACACTTCCACCCAAAAGCACAAGATATTTCTCTCTACTATTTATAAGCTTTGTGAGGTTACGAAACATGCTAAAGCTTGAAATGAACAGAAAAGTGATAACAGTCTTTCTCCCAGCTATTGCCATCTTCTTCTTCCACACACTAAGAACTTTAAATTCTTACAGAAAGGATAAATAAAACTCAAAGACCTGCTCAGGGTCACAGGAAAAAATTCAGGGACAAAGGAAGAACTGGCATTCCAGGCATGCATGCAGGGTACGAGATGTTACCACTCCGTACTAGAAACCTTAAAAACTTTATTTCTCCTCCTCTTCCACAAGGTCTTTGCTTTTTACTAGGATCTGTGAACACTTCCTAACTAAACTGGGGGGGATGCATAGTGATTGCCTCTGATACTGGGTATGCTTTTTAGTGGCACAAATTCTTGTGTGCACTAACAAAATTATTTTCTTGAATCTCTATCTTCTGTGAGACGTTCTAACCAACCCAACTACTTTCTGAAAGTTCCCTCATGGAAGATGGAGCAAGGTTTACAACAGGTCGCATGAAGTCAGTGGAATAGTACCCTGAGTTCAAACAGCACAGGGATATAATGCCAGCAGTAATATAACAAATCAGAAGGTGTCAGTGACTTCCAGAGTAATTTCCCATCAAATCATGGCACAAAACCACCCTGTGTGAACAGAGACAAAGAGAGAAACAGTATGTAAACCGTCCTTATTTAACAAGTCAGTTACGATTATCCAAGCAGCATGTGAGTTGACACTATAAACTATTAAAGCTGAAATGCCAGCAGCAGAGCGGAGCATAAATCCGAGGCGTGACTGTCTCTGCGGAATGCTGTATCGAGTTACGATAAGGAAGTGCTAGACTACAGCTGTCAGCCTGTTTTTCTACACACCAAGATGTTAATGGACTTACATGAATATGAACCGCCGCTGTGAGGGAATGTAAAGATTCAAGTACCAAGTTTTAAGGATTTCTAGTAATTAAAATACAATGCTAGAGGAGAAACAGGACTTTCACGATCAAATATATGATCATACTCTAATAGACGCTGATCTGAACTTGCCTTTCAAGAAGTAAGTAAAATGAGAGGGTTCTCTGTGACAACCACTAACATAATAGTTAAATATCCACAATTTCCTTCAGGATGTCCCTGCTTAACAGGGGCAAATTCCACTAACCCCTTCCAGACTGCTGCTTGCAAAGGGGCAGTCCGAGCAGGACTACAAACTACCATGTTTTTCCCCCAAAGACAGTTCTGGAACCAAACAGTACAGCAACTGTTTCTTTCAGAAAAGCAAAACAGTGAAATGGACTGAGGGTTTTTACAGATACAACTTATATTATTATTTACCACCTCCCATCCTCCCTGAAAAGGATAGAAATTCAGGTCCTGGTTAGAGGCAGACAGGAGAGATCCTGCCGGTGTCAGCTGAAGCACGCCAGATATCCAGAGGAAGACAAAAGGTCAGGGAACACTAGGGAGGAAGAACCT